AGTTTATTTTGCAATGTAAATGGACATTTGACTGGCCACTGATATGTTGACATTTCTTTCGAGTTGTACCATATGGTACAATTTACGACAGAAGGGTTGAGCAGCAAGATGACAATATGAGAACATGTCTAGCTAAAGTCACCACTGAATATACCCTACGAGATTGTATACCAGATTCGACTGGCTGCTCATTCCCCTGGCATGTCGCCACGTATACCAGAGATCAAGCACCAGAAAACTTGGTCCCGGAAGACGGAAGCCGCGGACAACACCACGGGCGCTTCTACGCAAGTCCATCATCATAATGCCATTACGTGTCGCCCACCATGATGACCACACCCATATACGATGTCGTATGACCATATACGAGCCAAATTCAGTTTTCCGTCATTTATCGTAATTACACATACAACGTCAATTTTATCAGCTCACTGATATTTTGTCGGTATTATAAATTATACACACACAGCGAAATATCATTCCCTTACACGGCTGGGCAACGCGTGTAAAATTGTAGCCGTGTCAAAGAGAATACAGTGAAGAAGACGCCAATGATTTTCGATTCTTATTTTTGAAAACTTCAACAAGTGGGTTCTGTGCAATACGACACCCACGATGGAGTAAGTAGTGTTTGTTGTAGAACAAAGAAATAGTTCAGCGTGCTATGGATCTGGAAGCCGATCCATTAAGCTTTCTTAACGTTACGACCTGTCGTAACTCTTCAGTTTATCATAGACTAACGAATGTCGTAGCGCTACAAATGCTTTGTGGATCGGGACCCAGTACCTGAAGTGAAAGTCCTAAGGACACATTCACCTGGGCCGACATGGGTAGTCTGTGACATCCATTGAAGTTACCGTGTTGCCCATAATGTCAGCGTATACCTTCTATGTACCCCCTTTTACATACAAAACGTTGTCTCATATCACAGTTCTCGTCGTTCCACTGATACTGCCGGAAGTCCGCGATCTCAATGTAGTTTTCGTTGATAGTACCGCTGTTGGGCTCCCCAAGACTCCAGTCTGTGAAACTCAGCGCCTTGTTACTGCCTACCCAGGTAAAGTGGCCCTCCGACTTCAAGTCATTTGCACCGATCCATACGTCATGTCTGGGACCTACAGCAAGTGTGTAAATGAGTGGGGCTTTAGCTGTATTCAAAGAGACAGGCTCACAGTATTGTAACCGCTTGGGTATGGAACCTGTGACAAGCAAGCGTTGTTAATAACGCTGTGGAGCCATAATGTGTACAAATCTCTCTTAAATGAGCAGTATAATCAGTATAATCATAATCAGTATGAATCACTCTCAATTAGGGATGGTGCCAAATGTGCTCCAAGGAAGCGCTACCTAGGCGAGCCCAGGAAGGTTGCGGAGAAAATGTAGACTCTACAACACTGTAGCCTTCTCTTATATTCATAGTTTCAGGATGGTTAGTTGGCTGGTTGGTTTGTTCAACGCCACACATAGCAATATTCCAGCTATATGGCGGCGGTCTGTAAATGATCGATTCTGGACCAGACAGTCAAGTGATCAACAGCTTGAGTACCGACCTACACAACTGGGATGCGATGACATGTGCAACCAAGTCAGAGAGCCTGACCATCCGATCCCGTTAGTCACCTCTTACGACATGCAAGGGTTACTGAAGACCAATTCTAACCCGGATCTGCGTAGATCGATGTCAGTCACTGGATGATCTGCTCCAGACTAGATTATTTACAGACCGCCGCCATACAACTGGAATATTGCAGAACGGGGCGATAAAACAACAACCAAACCAATCGATGTGATTGTATAGTATGGTATTTAAGTCCCTTGTTTTAATGAAGGACTGCACGAACTGATTCTATTGGGCAGATTCAATCGATGCCAAATTAGGGCTCCTTGGGTTATACATGTGGCCTGTAAAGAAACAGAAAGACACCAGTGGTAGCAGTGCCATATTTCTTTAAACGGTATTGACTTTAGGAATGACACTGTATCTGCTGTATATTTTTAGCTGGATCCCGATCCACTAAACGTTTGCTGCGCAAGCCTGTTATAAACTATAGAGTTATTATAGGATATTTATATTATTATAGGATATTTATATAGCGCATATATCCACGCAACTAGTGCATGCTCAAGGCGCTGATATTTTTCCCTCTCGACTATTGGATGTCAATCTCAACGGCACATCATATTATCAATCTCAACTCCCTTGGGAGTATACAACTCTTGCTGCCTCTAGGCGCACCGAGTTTTTATTGTGGCTTTCTCATCCTAACGAGGTACCCATTCACAGCTGGGTGGACTGGGACACATAGTCACAGTACTTTGTCCAAGTTCACTGCACGTTGCTGTACCCGCAACTAGGTGTTTGCACGTATTCATGTGGCCACCATCTGGTCATATACCAACGATTTCGTTGGTTCTTTTAAGTGCACAGGTTTGTGTACTGTACACTAGGGGTTGTGACAACACGGAAAGAGAGTCTGCACACAAAGTTAACTCCAAGGTTTTTACACCCGGTCACAGGTGAGTTCGATCCCGACACCTCAACCTCGCTGGATCACTAGCCTGGCGCTTTAGCCAGTTCGCACCTACCTCGCTGGATCACTAGCGCCCCAAAGGTCGTAACGTTAAGAACAATTCGTGGGTCGAGACCCTGATGTGTTGTCACACAATCAATATGCAGTACACAGCACATATTGAATCATTTATAAGACTTACCTAAGCTGAAGTCCATGATTGGTTATCGTAGTGTAAAAAATAGCAAGAACCGTGGAACTGGGTCCATCTGTCCGGGCACAAGCCTACAAAAGAGTGGGTTTGATTTATACTCAATAAAACTAGTAACTTGACACAGACAATACTGATATAAAATGGGAGGAAAATTCGTTCTAACTTAGTTTTTTAACGACACACTCAGCAATATTCCTGCTATATTCCAGCGATTCTGACGTGCAAATCGATCGTTGAACTTAGGTATACGGGCCAGACCAGACAAACCAGTGATCAACTGCATGACCATCGTTCTACGCAACTGGGATATAATGACATGTGTCAACCCAGTCAGTGAGCTTGACCACCCGATCCCGTTATGTCAAACATGTCGTAATTCCGCTGTTGAACACAAAGAGGTCTAATTAATTCGCGTTGTGTGTATTTAAGGAGAAAATACGGTATACAAATCTGAAGGGTTATTGGCAGCCATTTTGGTAGATCGACATTCACGCTATTCATGTATTCATACGCACGAAGTTTGTGTGAAAATGTTTAATTTAAAAGAGATTGCATTTGGAAAAGGTTTTAACTAATCAGAGTTAAGCATTCGTCAAAGTTGCGTTTGACTACTAAAATATTCTTACCATTAGCTGTAACATAAAGGAGAGAAACCATCATATACTTCAAAAGTAGCATGTTGCAAGTTTTGAAAATAGTTGAACTTCAAATTCTTTTCAACGTGGTTCCTAAAGTACTGGTTAAAGCCAATCCCTTTAACCTACATGTGCGTTTAAATTTTTAACCAGATAAGGTATATGGCCAGTTATAAATACTTTTAGATAAGATTAAATTCACATTGGAGAGGTTGTGCGTTATCGTGCTTGGCTATTTCAATTGCAATTCTGAAATATTCATATTTCATAAATATAACGATGCAGCATATTATATTTGTTTAATTAACATTTAGTTGATTTGAAATATCGCTTACGTCGCTTATGCCCAGAGACGCAGGGCGTTAGGATAGCCATGTGGTCAAGGCGTTCTCTCGTCAAGCCGGAGTCCATGGTTCGAACCTCCACATTTCAATATAAAAAGGTAACGGGATTGGGTGGTCAGGCTCGCTGACTGGGTTGACACATGTCATCGTATCCCATATGCGTAGATTGATGATCACAGGATTGTCGGGTCCAGACTCGATTATTTTTAGACAGCCGCCATATAGCTGGAATATTGCTGATTGCGGCGTAAATATAAACTCACATACTCATTCAATGTATTATGGTCTTTGCATGCTGCAATAACCCCACACTTTATATATATATGTATGTATATGTACACACACACACAGATACATACATGCATACTTACCTACCTACCTACCACCTACCTACCTACCTACCTACCGTTACATATACGCACGCACGCACGCACGCACGCACGCACGCACGCACGCACGCACACACACACATACATACATACATACATACAGACATTGTTCGAGTACGGTAGGTAGCACTAAACAAATAAGTTTTCAGTTGTGACTTGAATGTTGGTAGATGCTCTTGCGATCTGAGGTGCATAGCTAGACTGTTCCACATTACTGGACCGTCTTTTGCGAATGAACGGTCGCCAAATGTCTTTGTTCAGGTGGTTGGTACCTCCAGGAAATACTGGGAGCCATACCGTAAGGATCTGGGAGGGTGGTGTTTTTTTAAGAAGATTTGAAAGGTAGCTGGGGACAAGTCCATTCACACACTTGAACACTAACAACAGTACTTTGTACTGGATCCTGTTTGGCAACCAGTGTAGACGGTGAAGTACAGGGGTGATGTGGTCATATTTCTGGTGACGGGTTATCACCCTCGCTGCAGTGTTCTGCACACGTTGAAGCTTGCCAAGTAGATGCTCGGATGTTCCAAACAGCAGCGAGTTGCAGTAATCAAGTCTTGACGTGATGAAGGCTTAGATAAGAGCTGAGGTGGTCTTGACATCGAGATACCTCCCGGTCATGCTGATGGTGTGAATATGGAAGTACGCATGCTTGCACACGCTATTGATATGCGATTCCATGTTTAGGCACGAGTCGAATATCACACCCAGAATGCCGACTTACAGAGATCGCACAATCACCAATGCGGAACTCTGGACATACACATACAAACTTGTATATTTTCTTTCCCCCTTCTATCTATATAGCATGTTGCTCAGAATCAGAAAGATAACTACAAATACTCGATCAAGGCGGTGCCCTGGAATGGCGAATTGCGCCCAGAGTAAAACGACAAAGACAGAAACAACATCATATGCGTTTATTTCATCGTTCATCACTTTCAGCTAATATTCTCCTGCCAGCCGTTATTAGGATTAGGATCTCATTTACCAATAACTGGCCCTTTTCTGAAACATACAGAGATTGTGTACATGGTTAAAGGTTTCGCATGTAGAAATTCATTTTACTGACTGCATCATCGAGAGTCTTTGTATTCAGCGGAGCCTGTCTTGGCTTTGACTTCTGTGAACTGGCCATCGAATATAACATGTGTATATTGTCTCATAAGCCTTATTGGCTGGGTGAACGATATTTTACTATGTATATTGTGTATTTTATTTCATGTAATCGTTCACGTGACACCTCAATAAACTATATCTGTCTGTCTGTCTGTCTGTCTGTCTGTCTATAACAGTGAGCTGGGGGGGGGGGGGGGAGGAGAGGCCGTTTTGAAAAGTATTCCGTTATTTTACAGCCAGCTTAATATCAGAGGAAAGACTGAAATGGTAACGATCTCAGCCGTTTACTAACGACTGTAAAATCTGTTGGGGCAGGCATTCTTTCAGGTTACGTAAAGTTGCCAGTACTGTTAATTGGGTCTTTACATAGCGTACACATGTGACCCATCAGTCAAAATCAGCAACTACACTAGAGAAGCCCCAAGGTTATCAACATACCTCAGTTCACAGATGAAGTGGTTCCTATTGTGACAGAGTGCGTCATTCCATTGATAACTGTGAGATCTATCGAGTTGCACGCAGTTCTCGCCCCCATTACTATTATTCGGTTCTCCACGAGCCCAGTCTGTGAATGTCACTTTTTTGTCTCCCTCCGTCCACCGAAACTGATTCGAAGTCATCATGTCGTTGGCGCCGATCCACACGTTGGACGAGTGAACTAAACATGAGACAGAATTAGAAGTGAATGAAACAGGTGAACTAACAAAACGGAGATGGTTGAGAAAAGATAAAACAAGTCAATTAGAAATACAGTTTACAAAATAGTTCAGTTAACTATATAGACATGGTTCAGGGCAATGGAAGGAATCAGTTAACAAAACAACGATAGTTCAGGGCAATGGAAGGAATCAGTTAACAAAACAACGATAGTTCAGGGCAATGGAAGGAATCAGTTAACAAAACAACGATAGTTCAGGGCAATGGAAGGAATCAGTTAACAAAACAACGATAGTTCAGGGCAATGGAAGGAATCAGTTAACAAAACAACGATAGTTCAGGGCAATGGAACGAATCAGTTAACAAAACAACGATAGTTCAGGGCAATGGAAGGAATCAGTTAACAAAACAACGATAGTTCAGGGCAATGGAAGGAATCAGTTAACAAAACAACGATAGTTCAGGGCGATGGAAGGAATCAGTTAACAAAACAACGATAGTTCAGGGCAATGGAAGGAAATCAGTTAACAAAACTGTGTTTTTTACCACGATAGTTCAGGGCAATGGAAGGAATCAGGAAAACAACGATAGTTCAGGGCAATGGAAGGAATCAGTTAACAAAACAACGATAGTTCAGGGCAATGGAAGGAATCAGTTAACAAAACAACGATAGTTCAGGGCAATGGAAGAATCAGTTAACAAAACAACGATAGTTCAGGGCAATGGAAGGAATCAGTTAAAAACAACGATAGTTCAGGGCAATGGAAGGAATCAGTTAACAAAACAACGATAGTTCAGGGCAATGGAAGGAATCAGTTAACAAAACAACGATAGTTCAGGGCAATGGAAGGAATCAGTTAACAAAACAACGATAGTTCAGGGCAATGGAAGGAATCAGTTAACAAAACAACGATAGTTCAGGGCAATGGAAGGAATCAGTTAACAAAACAACGATAGTTCAGGGCAATGGAAGGAATCAGTTAACAAAACAACGATAGTTCAGGGCAATGGAAGGAATCGGTTAACAAAACAACGATAGTTCAGGCGATGGAACAAATCAGCTTACAAAACAGGGATGGTTCACAATGTTGAAACAAGTCAACTAACAACACAAGGATAGTTCACTGTGTCAAACAGATTCTCTTAAATATGAATCATTAGACCTTTTCAGCACGTTATGCTCACGTTTAATTTTTTTCAAACGTTACAGCAAATTAGCCTTGTAGTCTTTCCTAGAACATTTTATACCACCAATCCCAGACCAACGAGAACATCTCGCGGTAAGACATTACTATGACCATGGTGCCATATTGTTACTGAATGACCACACCATTGTCACGATCAATTATCGAATCATGTGATATTTAAATATCAGTAAGATATACTATTAAAAATAAGTATTTTTTTATATTTTGATGAACAGTTGTGTCTAACACCATTACTGATAACTTCATTTCTTAGACAATGTTTTCTAATACATTTGAGTGCTTCAGTTTACATTGTGTACTCGCCATAATCAACTGTTAGAGCTTTTGCTGATTATGACCATTACTGATTTTTTGCTATGATATTTGTTACATTTTATTGCTGTAGAAAACTATACATATTTAACATCATTCATACATGTCGTGTACTGTATTTTTGTGTATATTCTAGGGAGGGGACGGGTCCAAATTGTCTACCCGGGTACCCCATCCCCTATAACCCTACCCTGATATCCGTTATGTTTATTCCTGACATCAAATTTGTAAGAAATGCCAATACATTCTTCAGCTCGAAGGATAACATTTCGAGTTTCTCAATATCTTAACCATGTATTACATTCAAACCAGGTGACTGCACAATTATGTCTAAATCTTCAAAGACAATTCAACCTTTTAATCATGAAAGAATAACATATTACATTGTTTGCTCTATTAGTCACATGATCATAACGGGTCCGGGTATTTAGATGGGTACCGGGTCCAACTCACTACCCACCCGTCCCGGGTGTCCGGCTTACCCATCCAACCCTAGTATTTTCATTTGTTATATTACTTGAACATTTACAATGAAACCAAAATTTCCCATACGGTTATATTTTACCTGTCATGACTGGGGGCTTGGCAGCCCACAACCTTCCATTTGTCGTAGTCCTGGGCCTAGATTTTCGAAGCTCTCTTAGCGCTAAGATAGTCGTAAGTGCCATACATTAACCTTAACTTACGACTATCTTAGCGCTAAGAGAGCTTCGAAAATCCAGGCCCTGTAGGTTAAAATTATTTTAGTGTTATAAATCACAAATGGTGAACAGGGTAGGAACGGTGAGGAATCACTTACCTTGTTTTGTTCTGGCGTAATTCTTAGCAAACGCATTTTCATTTGCCGTTTCAAGTGTTACCAAATATGCTGAATGAAGGCCACAAACAGTCTAAAAAAAGAGAAGACATTAATTTGGGTTTGTGTTGAACTTGTAACGTGTCATCTTACTACACCACAACAAATACAAAACCGGTCCTTCACTTAATAACTTTTACTGTTAGGTATTCGTACAAATTTAACCACTGTGTTGCCTTTAACGCCCCGATGAATATGTGTCGGTACTAGATAGTCGAGATTCATTCTGCTCTGCTGACATTTATGTCTTATTAATAAATTGGTGTTGTCACTTTATTGCTGAAATACTGTCGATGTGACTCTGAACATAAACTCACCACCCTTGGCGTTGACATTTTACATTATTTATAATTCAGTCTGTGTCATACATATATCAGTTTTTATGATTCCTTCCACCATCCTGTCCCTTGTGTTATCTATACTTATAGCGATTGAAGCTTCGTCACATCAACAACTAGAGAGTATGTAGATGGTCATATGCTTTGCTGTTAGTACGTGATTTCTGTGGCGATGGCCACTGACAGAAATTTCAACAACAAGCAGTAATGGTCAGTGGCAGCAAATGTTTGAACTACTAGATAAAATACACTAAACGCCAAAAGAAACGTTACCCTCCTACGTTTATGAATTGCTTAAAAACTGTCGAAGATATGTTAGAAGGCATTAGTTTTCAGGAAAGCATAACAACACAGCTTGATGCATATCACGAGAAAAATTCTCAAGCGCATTCATATTTAGGTGAAATGCATCTTTTCAGAAGAGTTAAATTGTCCTATTTTCGACCATGCCGACATAAACCAATAACAGTGATTTAGATGTCAAAAGAAAGGTTGAAATAGAATTCTGCATCGAGACGTAGATAGAACAATTAAAGTCACCATTTGTGAACTATTAAAACAATAAACAACCGTTGTAGAGTGACTAAAATTGTAAAAGAATCATTCCTATGATTTCAGTCTTTTAAAACATTTTCTGCTGATTTGCATTTTTGAAAACAAGTACAACGTGTCTTTGATATTGTGAAAAAGTGTTTAGGAACACCTTAAATTATCTTTGTTAACATGTTTGCTTGCAAAATAACATTTTTTTCATTTTCTGTTTACACACAGCAATATCAATCGTCAAAACGTAGCAATATTCAAGCAGTATTTGCATCAAGTTCACATGTAGAATGATTCTACAGGGTATAAAGAGAGACTAGAATACATGATATGATACACAAGTACGAGAAATAGGCCACGATTAACAGCTGAAGAGAGAGTGAGCCATTGGGATGTTGGAGATGGGGTCGACATACTATGCTGTTGCCAACGCCCTCGGATGCCATCGTATCACGGTTATAAGATTTATTCAGCGCTACATACAGACTGGGGTCACCGTAGACAGACCAAGAAGTGGACGTCCACGCATCACAATGCAGCAGAAAGTTTCATCCTCACTTGAGTAGATTTTAAGAAATTCAATAAGGAAGGGGTAACGTTTCTTTTGGCGTTTAGTGTATATCAGGTTCTGTCATGGCCAGATTTGAACCGAAGTCCGCAGCAGAAAAGGTAACTTTCCGGAATGGCGTAATCTTTTTCGAGAATCAGAGTTATCTCCCCTAGTGGTGTAAATGTTCACAAGAGGCTTGATCATTCTAGATATTTCTGGTCGGGACAGTTTCGAGCGGCTGGCGCTTCCTGTATATCCTTTTTTAATCCGACTTTCCGGTTCGGAAATCTGTTTGGAAACCTCGAAGGTCTGGCAGCTTCCAACACTATCATAGATTCAAGAGAAGATAACGGGCGTTTTGTCGAGACATTCAGCAATGACAATATTCTGAATATTCTTGAGTGCACTGACAATAACTTTAGGTTCTGTTAATTACTGCTGCTGCCATTGTCTGCCTAGATTAATGGCATTTAGGAAACGTAAAATATGTGTTCAATATAATTGACTGATTATTCACTGAACTTCATCTATTGATACTGAATTCCTTCTGAGCAGACCGATTTGCTAGGCTATGCTCTTGCATTTTAATCTCCGCGTCAGTGTTCATAATGTAAGAGTTAATAGTTAATTCTGAATTGTGGAACCGGAATGAATCCATTACTTTTCACATACATGCCCATTTAACTATCTACGTCTACCTACATTGGCTTGGGGCCACTCCTCGCTATCCTCAAACAGAAAATAGCAACCGCCTTCAAAGGACACCCATAAATTGGGACAGTCACCTGCAAAAAGAGTCATCTTTATAAAACGTTCGGACAAACATCAAAGGAGACGTACAGTTCTTTAGACGTGAGATAACAACACGTAATGTAATGGTGCTGTGGTAATAACGACTTACCTTTAACGGTGGTACTTATTACCAAAAGCGACACAATATACAGCCACATCATGTCCTCGTAATGTTGCGACGATCAACAGAACAAGCCTTCCACGGGGACGTGTTGGTCCTTTTATATCACTGCTACTTCATATCTCGTAATGTAGATCACGAGTTCAGTTACTGACTAAGCATGTTGTCCACATACATGTTTGAAACTACTTTTCCTGGAAATAACCGAAACAAAGCGATTATCACACGTTCTTAAAATTCCTTCGTACATTAACCTTAGTTACATTGTACGTGTAAATCCCCCTTTGATAGAATAATATTTTGCATATTCAAAGACGCTAAACTATTACAGCATTTTTGTAAATTTTATAGGTTCAAATTTTCAAACTTCAGATTGCACGATCCTCTCATTGATGTTCTGGTTCGAATGATGCAGCAGTCGGATTGAAAAAAGGGCTTCCCTATGTGCACAAATATCCTAAATATCCTAAATGTGCGATAAGGACCTTTTATAAATTATGTCAGTTCCTGGGAACAAAGCATCAGGTGATTATGACGTTGAAGAACAGTCACACATAGTTCAGACGTCGTCCCGTGTTCATTTCAAAAACATTTGAGGTTACGCAAAGACTTTAATCACAGCAACAGTGAGAGGGTCACAAGATCTGAAGTTTGAAATTTTGAATGGATCAAATCCACAAACTGCACTAATAGTTAAGTGTCTTTTAACATGCAAAAGTATTTTCGTAAAGACAGATTTCCACCTACAATATTACTACTGTTAATGTACCAATTAATTGCAAGAATGTGTGATTATCGCTTTGCAAAAGTTATTTTCATGACAAGACATTGAATACATGGATGTTAAATTTGCAGGAATATGTCAGGTGATGCGTTAAGGTTCAAGAAATGTGTTTGATGACGCGTTAAGGTTCAACAGAAATCCAAACGAATGTCTTCTCTGTTTTGTAGGCCTTCATTCAGCATATTTGGTAACGCTTGAAAGGCAAACGAAAATGCGTTTGTTAAAGATTACGCCCGAGCAAAACAAGATAGGTATTTACAGACCATACTTACTCTGTTCACCGTTTGTGATTTATAACACTAAAATTTGAACCAACAGGACTACCACAAATGTGCAATCCCCACAGTCATGACAGGTAAACATGGAGAATTTTAATTACATCGTGGATGTATAAATAACACAATACATAATAACACATACAAAATAGAATATACGACATGTATTCATGAATCGAAGCTAAGTATGTATGGCTAAGTACAGCAATAGAATGTAACAAGAAGCATGACAAAACATAACTGATGGTAAAAGACTGCAAAAGCTCTTATACTGGATTAATAATGGAAGTTATAGAAAGCATTTTCTAGGAAATAAACAAAAGTAACTGTAAGACACAACTGTTCCACAGAATAGAAATATTTTACTTATTTTGAAGAGTAAATCTTACGGACATATAATATCAAATGATTATATAATTCATCTTAAAATCTGCTGAAGGCATTTATGACTCACCGTTTTGACACATTGAAGTATTCCTGTTTCGTTATGACTTATTGTCATGTTCTGGACCATCTCCGTTCTGTTAACTGATTTGTTCCATCACTCTGAACTATCTCCGTTTTGTTAACTGATTTGTTCCATCGCTCTGAACATTCCCTGTTTTAAAGAAGAATCACAAATTCTGAAAAGAAGGACAACAATATCCCTGTTTTAACTTATTTGTTTCATCACTCTGAACTATCTCCCGCTTTGTTAACTGAACTATCTTTGTTCGATCACTCTGAACTATCTCCGCTTTGTTAACTGATTTGTTCCATCACTCTGAACTATCTCCGTTTGTTAACTGATTTGTTCCATCACTCTGAACCATCTCCGCTTTGTTAACTGATTTGAACTATCTCCGTTTTGTTAACTGATTTGTTCCATCACTCTGAACTATCTCCGCTTTGGACAACTGAACTATCTCCGTTTTGTTAACTGATTTGTTCCATCACTCTGAACTATCTCCGCTTTGTTAACTGATTTGTTCCATCACTCTGAACTATCTCCGTTTTGTTAACTGATTTGTTCCATCACTCTGAACTATCTCCGTTTTGTTAACTGATTTGTTCCATCACTCTGAACTATCTCCGTTTTGTTAACTGGATTTGTTATCTCCGTTTTGTTAACTGATTTGTTCCATCACTCTGAACTATCTCCGTTTTGTTAACTGATTTGTTCCATCACTCTGAACTATCTCCGTTTTGTTAACTGATTTGTTCCATCACTCTGAACTATCTCCGTTTTGTTAACTGATTTGTTCCATCACTCTGAACTATCTCCGTTTTGTTAACTGATTTGTTCCATCACTCTGAACTATCTCCGTTTTGTTAACTGATTTGTTCCATCACTCTGAACTATCTCCGTTTTGTTAACTGATTTGTTCCATTTGTTCCATTCATTTGTTCCATCACTCTGAACTATCTCCGTTTTGTTAACTGATTTGTTCCATCACTCTGAACTATCTCCGTTTTGTTAACTGATTTGTTCCATCACTCTGAACTATCTCCGTTTTGTTAACTGATTTGTTCCATCACTCTGAACTATCTCCGTTTTGTTAACTGATTTGTTCCATCACTCTGAACTATCTCCGTTTTGTTAACTGATTTGTTCCATCACTCTGAACTATCTCCGTTTTGTTAACTGATTTGTTCCATGTTTCACATCTTTTATTCACTTCTAATTCTCTGTCTCATGTTTAGTTCACTCGTCCAACGTGTGGATCGGCGCCAACGACATGGAGACTTTGAATCAGTTTCGGTCGACGGAGGGAGACAAAAAAGTGACATTCGCAGAGAACCGAATGATGGTAATGGGGGCGAGAACTGCGTGACAAAGAATCAAAGACCTGCGATCATAGGGATGAGAACCGCAAATAACAATGAGGACATATACAGGCCGACTAGCCAAACGACGCTGTAGCCGATAGCTGAAACAACTCTCTGACGACACAATGTGTAAGGTGCATACACAGCTAATTAAGACAGCTGTGACCAGTTGTGGCCTGGGAACAAATTAACTCAATTCTATCAGTGGTAACAGACACCGTCATCGGCTATAACATTCCTTCCCGTGACAGACATGCGATGCCTGCCATGAAATGACTTGATAACAATAAAGGTATAAATTTCCATTTGGGATGAGAACTGTAAATCTGCTAGTTAGGCAAAAAGGATATACATAGCATATATCTAGTTTGCATCATATACAGACATGCTCTCGGGCGAATGAAATCCCTGACAACAGGTTGCCCTACGCAAGTTTAACATATAGCAATGCCTGAAGATGGTTAGGCTTGAAAGTGCCAATGTTCTTGCACGCCCGAACCTTTAACGCTGGTGAAAATCTCGAAGTGATTCAATCTGAGACGTTTATCACTTTGGTGAAACCCACGAGGCGTATTTAGTATCGAGAAACATGTACCTGTTACGAATGTCATTATTACTTTGAAGCATGTCTTCACAATGGATTTAGGGATATGGCACACCTGAAAGGTGCAACAAAATAATATTTATCTCTTATGTAACCTACTTTCAACCTTTCCTCACAGCGACCACCCAGAACATTATTTTGAAAGTTATTACATTTGCCAAGGTGGAAAACACAACAAAACGAAACAAAGAAGAAATAAAACGCAAACAAACCTCTAAAATTATGTCTCATTAAACTTCACATTTGCCATATGATTATGTTCTTAGATTATATTGCCGTTATAATTCTGACTCATTTCGGGCTCAATCAACTTCATGTGAAGCTAGACCCACCCGTTGAACAGAGTGGCGTTTGTTCTGGTGTTTGTCCTTGCTTGCACAGAGCTGCTTTAAAGTATTGCGAAGGCTTTCTGTAACGGATTTAGTGTAGACTAGACAATCCAGTGATTGATATTCTGAGCAACGACAGCGAAAGCCAACAAACACAAACATACAGAAAATCATTTAAATTCACTCGTTGTTGTAAACCGGGTATCTAACAGGAGTTTATATATCTTTAATTGAGATGTCTTTGACTCCCACGATCTCCTTGTATGTCATCGTATTCCAATTGCGGTCGATGCTCATGATGCTGATCACTAAACACTCTGGTCCAGGTCCACTTACATACAGACTGCCATCAGATAGCTGGATTATTGCTGAGTACGGTGACACAATTATAAAAATACAAGCAAACAAAAAACAAGCTTTGAGTGTTTCAATGTCAAAAGCAGAGGTGCTATTCGATGACACAGTGGACCACTGCAGATCTACTCGAGGTGGCAAATGAAAGGAAATTGCATCCGCAATCTCCTAACCACACACAAGGCATATGCAAAATACAGACTCACAAGTTCCCTCATTATTGAAGAGCGCTGAATGTATGTTTTTATAATACTATACCTAGTGTTAATATTTAAAGAAGACCGATTTTTCATCTAATTCGGATAACATGGTAGCTTATATAACTGTAGGAGAGGTCTAACACTTTTTTAAAGGCCACATTCTTGTAACTCGTTCTGACAAAAAGGTCTTGTTGTCTCATCCGTGAAGATACGGGTTAGAATTGGTGTTCAGTTACCTATGCTTGTCGTAAGAGGCGACAAACGAGATCAGGTGGTCAGACTCGCTGGCTTGGTTGACACATGTCATTGTTTCCCAATTGCTTATAACGATTCTCATGCTGTTGATCACAGGATTGTCTGGTCCAGACTCGATTATTTACAGACCGCCGCCATATAGCTAGAATATTGCTGAGTGCGGCGTAAACCTAAACTCACTCACTCACTCTGACACCATCTATGGGCTTCAAAAACGTATAAATGTTCTTGAACAGCATTGCAAAGAAGATAAGCCAGATGTCAACTTGGGCCAATCCAAAATTGTTGTAAGAAATGGTAGCATCCTTCGTAAGCACGAAAAATGGCATTTAGAATGTAAATTAATTGATTGTGTTTCTTCCAATAGATACAGTATTTGGGAATAGTATTTTCACAAACATTGTCATGGCATAAACATTTTGAGAGCTCTACTTTACAATCCACAAAGGCTTTGTTTGGTATTTCGAAAAGTGTAAAAGGTCACATGCAACCAAAAAAATAAACATAATTAAAACACAATTATCACTTATTCATGACAGATAAAATACATGGGTGCTTGTGAAAAAGACAAATAAACAAAATTATAAGCGCACAATCGCGAATCAAAAGTGCAATAGTTTGTTCTCGGGTTTACTTCGCTCGAAACGAAGCACCCGGGAGACGAAACCCAGTCAGAGCGGATGGGTGTGCACTCAAGTGTAACGAAGTCTTTTCATTGGCTGGTTCATTTGAGGGTTAATTGTGTGTGTGTGTGTGTGTGTGTGTGTGTGTGTGTGTGTGTGTGTGTGTGTTGTGTGTGTGTTTGTGTGTGTGTGTGTGTGTGTGTGTGTGTGTGTGTGGTGTGTGTGTGTGTGTGTGTGTGTGTAGAGAGAGAGAGAGATGATATGTTTGATTGGCATTTTAGAAGTATGGTGAGTAATATTAAAGTAAGATTATTTATGGATAACAAATTCTTTTATTGTATATGATGCGACGTTTCGGTATGGTTTCTTATATCGTTGTCAAGCATCTATATACAATGAAAGAAGTTGTTATCCATAAAGACTGTATATAGAGATGTTGGGTTTTGTAAATACATGCTCTCTGCATTTGCGTTCGATCCCATCAACAAATACTGCGATGGTGAACTACTGCGTGGCTGGAAACTGTCGTTCATCCAAGTACAAAGCAGGACTTGAAACTGACAATCTGAGTTCGCACTGGTTTCAGTCCGATCCAGTCATCCGAGAAAAATGGATGCAGTCCGTTTGCAATCCACAGACATAATAACATGTCATGTGTACAAGTATCACGCCTGCCTGTGTAATTACATAATGTGACAGAGACAGAACTCAGGTGCACGAGCCATAAATCAATGTATTTTGTTTACGGTGCATAGCCTGATAAGTTCAAATTGCACGTGGTCAACGATTGAAGTTGTGTATTGCATATTGTCATTAGCAGACAGGCAGGCAGACACATAGGTGTCAATAAAACAGACATTGAGTTTTGTCTGTGACAGACACTGCTTATCACAATCAACATATGTATTAAACCATTTCAGTTGTCAAGCTGAGCAATTTTTAACAATGGAATTAGTATTTCTAATGCTACACTTTCTTGAAAGCTTGGTTTGCAAATCTGCAACCAAGTATGGGACCAGTGTGTTTTTATTACTGCAGACCCAAGATGCTTGTAATCGCAAAATACATCTCTTGTTCTCCAACTTCGACCACAGCGATAATCCTTGCAGGCATCACCTGCTGTGTTTTTACGAGTCACCTTCCCGGTTCAAGCCGCGCGAACCTAATCACTGCGCATGCGCTATTGGCGCAGCGCATCACAGCTGTTGAAACCACTTTTCATCGCGCTGGGGTGAAATTAGTGAATCGTTTGAACTATGTTTTCCTGAGTTTCCATTTTCGCGTGTGTGTGTGTGTGTGTGTGTGTGTGTGTGTGTGTGTGTGTGTGTGTGTGTGTGTGTGTGTGTGTGTGTGTGTGTGTGTGTGTGTGTGTGTGTGTGTGTGTGTGTGTGTGTGTGTGTTGTTTCATCGCGTTATTTTTCAAGTTGAATTTGCATATTTGATAATTTGTTACTGTAAGTCCGTACCGAAAGGTATCAGAATCTGCAAAGTTGTGTTTTGCGTTGCATGTGACCTTTAACAAAATTTGAACATATGAAATGTGATGTTTTTTTCAGAATTTTTGACACTAAGTAATGCTTGATTTATGGTGCCGACGTATGGGGTCGAGACTGTGATTCTTATTCATCGATTGAAACAGTTCATACCTAAGCCGGTAAATATTTACTCCGTGTTAAACTGTGTACCCCAAGTCACGTTGTACGTGGCGAGTTCGGGAGATACCCTATGTGTATCTTTGCGTACAAACGCTGTATTATATGCTCTCTACACGTTTTCCTAAGAAATGTTATAATTCATTACCGTTAGATGCATTAACTGGGTATCAAATTAAAAAACGTATTGTATACAATGGGGTTTGGATATTCCTAATATAAACCTATTTATTTCTGAATTCATATCTAGAGCCCAAAACATATATTTACAGGAATGACATTCCTGGCGGTCTTATGGTTCAAAATCTTTTTAATATTCTCAATTTAAATTTATTTTTGGTGTTGAACCATATCTTCATTGTATAACTATCAATAAATTTATACTAGTTCGCACCAATTGAATATAGAAACTGTTAGATATATAAATAAACCAAAAGCTTAAGATTGTGTGAAATGTGTTCCTGTAACTATGTAGAAAATGAGTACCATTTCTTATTGATATGTACTGCTTATGATGATCTACGTAAACGTTTTATCCCTGTTGATGCTTTCACTCATCAAACCTTGTGTAAATTTAACCGATTGATGTGTAATGCTGCTCCTCTGTTTTTAAGAAATCTTGCCATGGTCATTTTTATGCTAAAAATCGTCGTCGCTGTAGTTTGAAGGCTGCTAATGTATAACGATGTACCATGTGCCGATGGCCTACATTCACATGAAAATAGAATTGAACTGAATTCTTTTGTCACTTTTTCTGAATTATCATATGATTTGCTTTGCAGGTATGAAATAATCATCTGGATAACATCGTCTACACAGGGAGTTACGTTCACTGTGATGATATGCATGCAACACAAGCCAGCAGTACAAAGCTTATATTGATGTAGTAGTATCAATACATAAAACAAGCAAAAGCATGTCAAAACCTTTATTGAATGAGCAGTTTATTCCAACTGTAGTTGCGGCTCAGCCCACGATACGGCTCGAAGGGCTGACAAATAACAAGAAACATACTTAGTAAAGATTGAAAAAGATGTCATCGGCATACCATACAATTGTTAGGATATATTTTAAGCACAAATGTTAGGATACATTTTGAGAGAATCTTCTTTGGAGAATTTTGTCTATCATATTATAGAATATTAACACTGTTTGAGTATAAAACAATGCTCAATTATCCAGTCGTTTAGTGTTTACCTTGTTTCACATATGAAAGATTGCTTTTTCGTACACATGTCATCATTCCACTGATCCTGAAGATAATATTCAATCTCCACACAGTTTTCATTGTTGTGGATGTTGTTTGGTTCTCCAGCTTTCCAGTCAGTAAAGTTCAGCTCCTGGTTTGTTGCTGCCCAGCGGAATACCCCCTCTTCCCACAAGTCATCGGCACCAATCCATACGTCCTCAGTGACACCTGGTCAAATATTGAAAATAATAAATAGGGAACACATGTTCATCTGAAGATGCCTTTGGCACCAATCCATACGTCCTCAGTCACACCTGGTCAAATATTGAAAACAATAAATGGGGAACACATGTTCATCTGAATGCGTCATCGGCACAAATCAATACGTCCTCACTGACACTTGGTCAGATATTGAAAACAATAAATGGGGAACACATGTTCATCTGAATGTGTCATTGGCACCAATCCATACGTCCTCACTGACACCTGGTCAAATATTGAAAACATTAAATGGGGAACACATGTTCATCTGAAGGTGTCATTGGCACCAATCCATACGTCCTCAGTGACACCTGTGTTAAATATTGACAACATTAAGTAGGTAACACATTTTTTTCTGAGGGCTATCGTTACTGTCATACCTGAACATAGACCTAAGGTAGTTGTAGCGCAAAGATCGCTTTGTGAAAAGAGCCCCAGACCACTTACAAACAAAGAAGACCGGAAGTCCTTTCTGATTAGAAACCCGCCATCTCCGACCCCACTCAAACCTATCTGCGCCACAACATCCTTTGAAAAACCATCACGATGCTCACAAGTAACCACGTGGTTTATAATAGGTTTGACGGCCCCACCATCACTAGACATCAACCGGCCATCAACAGAGATCATGGTATTTACAGCTTTCTGGCAGAGGCCTGTACATATTTGAGTCTGGACCACACAATCCAGTGATCAACAGCATGAGCATCGATCTACGCAATTAGGATACGATGACATGCGTGAACCAAATCAGCGAGGCAGACCACCCGAGCTCGTCAGTCGCCTTTTACGACAAGCACGGGTCGCTAAAGACCAAATCTAATCCGGAACTTCTCCGGTCTGTATGCTTATGGTGGAACATTTTCTTTTGCAACTGACCAAATTTGACATCATGTTATACAAAGTGCCAGTCAACATATGTGAATGTTTATCCCGCAACAGTTGAATATTACACAAGCAAATATTTGCCAACGGCCATAGCACCCTTTGGCAAAAACAGGGTAATATTATTCTGAGTATTATTATGTTTATGTGCAACTATACATGCATTCTTAACTTAAACAATGCTGCTTTCAATACATATGCATTAGAGCTGGCTATAGATCATAGACATCGATAATCGTTAACTAAATATCGATCGATTATCGATAAATATCGGAGACGTATCTTTGAGCAAAATTGTCTGAAATAAATGAATATATTTCACATCACTGGTAAGTGGTGACATGTTTTTGCATGGATTAGTAACAAGCAGCGTCTTGAACATAATTTAGAAGCAGACCATGAATAAAATCATAAATTTGTATATTTCGTGAGAAACCTTTTTCGGTCACAAAAGTTATTGTACGATATTATCGATAACACAATAATGAATATATTCCCATAGACGATATTTCCGATTATCGATCATTTTAGACAGGCCAATATGCATAGATATAGCTACCCTGAAAAAACCTCTTACCTTCCGTCTTGATTAAGCCCTTTACAAAGTCATTCTCGGCTGAAGATTCGATCACAGCCATGTATCCCTGGTGTATTTCACACAGATACTGCAAGTGAGTAGAGAAATAAACACCCGTCAAACAGGAAGAACAATGCATAAGCAAAACATAATTATCTCCCAAAGACCCCGTGGCAGCACGGTGACGTGGTCTTTGCATCAGTCCGTCATATTTCTTGAAATATATTTTTATTGTTTCTAAAGGTCACAGATTCAGTGCTGTACGTGTGTGTCACACACACACACACACACACACACAAACACATTTATGTATATATCGTTGTTAATAGGATACATCTTACTACATGAGACGCGAAAAATAGTGCTTGCTGTATATGTATGTATGTATGTATGTTTGTATGTACGTACGTACGTAGGTATGTATGTCTGTATGTATGTATGTATGTATGTATGTATGTATGTATGTATGTATGTATGTATGTATGTATGTATGTATGTATGTATGTATGTATGTAGGTAGGTAGGTAGGTAGGTAGGTAGGTAGGTAGGCAGGCAGGTGTGTAGGTAGGTAGGTAGGTAGGTAGGTAGGTAGGTAGGTAGGTAGGTAGGCAGGCAGGCAGGTGTGTAGGTAGGTAAGTAGGTAGGTAGGTATGCATGTATGTATGTGTGTGTGTGTGTACATATACATACATATATATACATAAAGTGTGGGGTTATTGCAGCATGCAAAGACCGTCATACATTGAATGAGTGAGTAAGTGAGAGTATATTTACGCCGCAATCAGCAATATTCTAGCTATATGGCGGCTGTCTGTAAATAATCGAGTCTGAACCAGACAATCCTCTGATCATCAATCTACGCATATGGGATACGATGACATGTGTCAACCCAGTCAGCGAGCCTGACCACCGAATCCCCTCAGTCGCCTCTTATGACAAGCATGGGTTACTGAAGATCAATTCTAACCCGGATCTTCACGGGTTAAATACACTGAAGCAAAACAATAAACGATATGTTCAGTTTGAAAGTTTGGAGTCACACACTGGACATGGGAAACCAGAAATGGTCCTCATATATGAGGAGAATCCAACCACGCTCGAGGGTATTCACCACTCTGCTATCCCTCAGCCCCGATGGACACTCGGGAAGTATTGACTGTGTTCAGGTGAGCTACCGGTTTAATTAGTAAACCCATTCGATTTGCTGTCTTGCGTGCAATCGCAACAATCTAAAGGGAGTGTGTGCATCCTGCTGGGCTACCATGAAGGTAACAGAGGCAACGGAAGTTCCACTTGTTGGGTGACTCAACCTAGGAATCGGGCGATTACAAGCTCATTTATTGCAATGTAAGTGGTCCTTCTTTTAAATGTTTTGACTGTGACATATTGCCAGTTTTTGTTGTGCCCATCGCTGAAAGATATTAACCTGTGTATAACCTTTCCTAGTCACACCATGGCTGAAATATTGACAAATTGTCTTAAATTTCAACTCACTCACTTTCACTCTCACACTCACACTCACTCACACTCACACACACAGCTGTCTGTACTCACTCACTCACACTCACACTCTCACACACATCTGTCTGTACTCACTCACTCACTCACACTCACACACACAGCTGTCTGTACTCACTCACTCACACTCACACACACAGCTGTCTGTACTCACTGACTCACTCATTCACTCACACTCACACTGACGCACACAACTGTTTATACTCACATTGGCCTCTGCCCATTCCTCCTTATCCTTGACCACGTCATAACAGGAATCTCCGAATAGCGTCCATCCGGATGGACAAAGTCCTAAACAGAAGATTTCGGAATTTTCAACTGCGATTTCAATACACTGTAACAGTTCAGAGGTTATGTTATGTACAATATCCACTTGTGCTTTTACCGTTACTGCCATGTATTGCACTAAAGAACCCATTTCCGTAACTGTGACATGTATGAAATGTTGGTTTGTTTGTGATATAACACCGCAATCAGCAGTATTCAAGCTATATGACGTCGGTCAGTAAATAATCGATTCTGGACCAAACAAACTAGTGATCAACATCATGAGCATCGATTTACGCAACTAGGATACGATGAAATATGTCAAGAAAGTCAGCGAGCCTGACCCCCAAATCCCGTTAATCGCTTCTTACGACTAGCCTGGGTCGCTGAAGATCAATACTAAGCCCGATCTTCACGGATACAGTATACGTAACATTACCATCAACTGCCATACATATGGCAGAAACAACACAGAGTATGTAGAGAGACATGTTTCCTGTAAAGAAGATCCGTTGCAACTGGTTACGTAATCACGTCACTCTCCTCAACTATCTCGGTAACTTGACAGCTGGCTGTCATGCGCCTTAACCACATAGCTGCTGAATTAATCTTCTCATAGAAAAGCTCTGCAATATGAATGCTGAGTGAGAGTTTTAGTTGCGGGCAAAGGGTCAACTGAGAAAATACGGTTGCTGAAATGAAAGACCGGTTTGAAAAACCTAACTTTGTCCGAGACTTTATTTGGCGTACGAGATCAAGAACTCGGATATTTTCCTCGGTTACATCAAAGAGGTGGAGATACTCACGCGTGAACAAACAGGGCAAGGATTTCTGTACATATATGATTTGTGATATTTGATTCCCGGAGTATCATTTTTACTTACAAAGAAGAGAATCTTGAATCATTAGTGTTAATTACAAGTGTTGATGTTGACGACAAATATTCTATGCAAGAAAAACTCGACATAAAAACACATCCGATGGATGGCACGTGCCGAACGCAGATTTACCTGATTCCATATATTGTTTGTGTATGATCTAGCGGTGCCGAGGTAGCGTCAATGGGGTATGGACATGCTGAAGGAGAGGTCGAACACTTGTAGCTCTGTGAAGATCCTAATTAGGGGCCACGTTTTTGTTACTTAGTCGTTCTACTGAAGTGGCTTTTTGCACTAGTTGTCGCCCCTTTTTCCACCAGATGAACGTGTGCCATCAACGTTTTATGTCTTGTTCCAATTTCTAACATGCCCATTGCACGTGGCCGTTTCTGACGTGACAGACGTTATATGTCAAACGTGTAACTTAGTTTTACACAATATCAGAATAAGACGCTTGCTCAGGTGACAAATGATTTAACCTTTAAGAGCTAAAACTTCGGAACATCTGAACTTAAGCCTGGCATTGTCTGACAATCAAACATTACAAAGTCACAATTCTCATCAGTATCACAATCTGATACAATGTGAACTGTTAAGCTGGCATCACGCTGAGCAGGTACGTTATCATTTCTTCCATGAGACATGCTGACAGGGCCAAGCTGTGTCCTGTTACGAGTGTCAGTCGTTTTTACAACATAATCACTGACATTCCCATCAATATTATGATTGGTTGGTCGATTGGTTTGTTGTTTAACGCCGCACTCAGCAATATTCCAGTTATATGGCGGCGGTCTGTAACTAATCGAGTCTGGACCAGACAATTCGGTGATCAACATCATGAGCATCGATCTACGCAACTATGATACGTTGAAATATGTCAAGAAAGTCAGCGAGCCTGACCCCCCAATCCCGTTAATCACCTCTTACGACTAGCCTTGGTTGATGGAGATCAGTCCTAACCCGGATTTTCACGGATACGTTAAATGTAATATCACCATCAACTGCCATGGCAGAAATAACACAGAGTATGTAGAGAGACATGTTTCCTGTAAAGCAGATCCGAGGCAACTTTTTATGAGCATCGATCTACGCAATTGGGATACGACATGTGTCAACCAAGTCAGCGAGCCTGACCACCCGACCCCGTCAGTTGCCTTTTACGACAAGCATGCGTTACTGAAGACCAATTCTAATCCGGTTCTTCACGGGTCTCAATGTTATGAGGACCATTGCACCTGTTATGGCCAAACGTTATGTTTTCGACTGAATCAAGGTTTTTTCTGGAGCAACAGAGTGTGGCGTAGATGGAGATCGTTCTGGGATCGTTGTGGGGTGTGATCACTGTGACCTGCGTTCAAAATTAACGTCGGTCCTTAGGCCCGAAGTCGACTGAAAACCATCCACAGCTTTCGTTTTCTGCAGGTTATTATGGCCGACAGCATTTTCATCCCCAATAACTAACAGTATTATTTCCATAGTAAAATATAGGGCCTACACATTCTGATCAGGAAGCACAATGTTTTATGATTCTGGGTCCTTAGGGCCTCAGCTTTTCAGGGTTAAGGGCAAACACTGACTGTGACTGGCAGAGTGAGTGAGTTTAGTTTTACCACCTTTAACAGCATTGCAGCACTATCACGGTGGGGAACACCAGAAATGGGAATGTAAATCTCAGCCGGGTCTTCGGCGTGACGAGCGAACGCTTTAACCACTAGGTTATATCGATGTAGTAGTAGTAGTAGCACACAGGTTATACCGATGTAGTAGTAGTAGTAGTAGTAGTAGTAGTAGAGGTAGTAGTAGTAGTAGTAGAGGTAGTAGTAGTAGTAGTAGTACACAGGTTATATCGATGTAGTAGTAGTAGTAATACACAAAACAAACAAAAGCATGTGAAAACCTTTTATTCCAACTGTGGTAGAGGTTCAGCCCACTATACCGCTCGGTCTGACAATGACAAGAAATATTAATTAACATATATAGTAAGATTGAAAAAGATATCATCAGCATACCATACAGTTGTTAGGTTATATTTTAAGCACAAATGTTAGGATACATTTTGAGAGAAGCTTCTTTGGAGAATATTATCAATCATATTACACAATATTAACACTGCTTGAGTATAAACCATGACTCAATTATGCTGTTGTTTAGTGTTTACCTTTTTTCACATATGAAATATTGTTTTTTCGTACACAGGTCATCATTCCACTGATCCTGAAGAAAATATTCAATCTCCACACAGTTTTCATTGTTGTGGATGCTGTTGGGTTCTCCAGCTCTCCAGTCAGCAAAGTTCAGCTTTTGGTTAGTTGCTGCCCAGCGGAATACCCCCTCTTCCTGCAAATCATTGGCACCAATCCATACGTCCTCAGTGACACCTGGGTTAAACATTAAATACGGAATACATGTTCATCTGAAGGTACCATTGGTACCAGTCCATACTGTTCAGTGGCACCTGTGTTAAATATTGAAAACATTAAGTAACACATGTTACTCTGACCAATGGTCAGTTTGATATTATGTTTTACATATGTTTTGCCAGTCAACAAATGTAAACGTTTATAACGCAACGGTTGGGCATTGTACAAAGCAAATGTTTGCCAACACCCATTGCTACCTTCGGCAATAACAGAGTAATATTATGCTGATGAATATGATGCTTTATGCTGAAGCAATAATAGTGTGTATACGGTAATTGTTTCATTGTTCAATAACATAAATATAACAATGCTTACATAATACTGCTTTCAATACAAGTGCATATACATTCCTATCCTCAAATACCTATTACCTTCCATCTTGATTAGGCCCTTTACAAAGTCATTCTCGGCTGAAGATTCAATCACAGCCATGTAGCCCCAGTGTATTTCACAAATATGCTGCAAGTGAGTAGAGAAATAAACACCTGTCAAATAGGAAGATCAATGCATAAGCAAAACATAATTCAAGGGCGTAGCTACCATTATGAAAAAAGCCCGGGCTTACACATGATTGTTGTTAAAAAGTTTGGACAAGCCCTCAATAGTATCTAAACATAAAGCTTTGCAACCTATCGGGCTTACACGAAACAAAAGGCTTGCTACGCACCTGTAATTGTCTCCCAAAGACGTCTTCACAGTAGCACGGAAGCATGGAATTTGTACCAGTCCGTCATATTTCTTGAAATATTCTTGTATCGTATTGTTTCTAAACACATGCTGTTCACCCCATAAATGCATACAGGTTTAAGCTCTTACAGGTCGGTAAATAGAGTATAGAACAAATGAGATTATTAACGGATGTACGCTTCTTTATTATGAAGCATACAAAGTTCTTGGAGTGTGTGCTTATTTTTCAATCAGGTGAACGAAATACATTCTGGGTTTACATTCTGCTGAGCTACCAAGAAGGTGACAGTGGCAACGAAAGTTCCCCGTTCACTAGCTGTGTGACTAAATTGTCCATACTCACATTGGCCTCTGTCCATTCCTCCTTATCCTTGATCACGTCATAACAGGAATCTCCGAATAGCGTCCAATCGGGCGGACAAAGTCCTAAACAGAAGATTTCGGAATTCTTTAACTGTAATTTGAATATACTGTAACAGTTCAGAGGTTATGTCATGTACAATATCCACGTGTGCTTTTACCGTTACGGCCATGTATTGCACTAAAGGATCCATTTCCGTAACTGTGACCTACATGAAATGTAACATTACCATCAACTGCTATACATATGACAGAAACTACAGACAGTATGTACATGTAGAGAAACATCCTCCATGTAAACCAGATCCGTTGCAACTGTTTACATAATCACGTCACTCTCCTTCAACTATCTGGGTAACTTGGCAGCTGGCTGGCATGCGCCTTAACCACATAGCTGCTGATTTAATCTTCTCATAGAAAGGTTCTGCAATATAAATGTTGTGCGAGAGTTTCGGTTGCGTGCGAAGAAGGGTCAACTGAGAAACTATGCATTTGCTGGTATGGTAATTGAATTTCCTGGGGTGTAAAGGCAGCTGCAGATTTAAGACTAGTTTGAAAACCTATCAATTCTTAGTGCTGTCTGGGATTTCATTTGGCTGACAAAATCAGGAACTCGAATTCTCTTCGGCGAGATCAAAAGGTGGAGAAATACTCACGCGTGAATAGGGCTAGGATTCCTGTATTCCTGTGATTTGTTTATGTGATATTTGATTCCGGGAGCATCAGTCTTATGTTCTCATAACAAATCGATGACAATGTTTCTTACAAGAAGAGAATCATGAAACAAAAGTGTTAATTACAAGTATTGATGTTGACGACAAATATTACATCGAAGAAATTTAGGTATGTAAAACTTGACATCAAATCACATCCGATAGTTTGTACGTGCTGGACGCAGTTGCGCCATACATGTGCGAAGGCTGTCATTCTTGACTTTGACACTTTTCAAGAAGATAGATTTTCTGTCAGCCTTATTCATTCAGCTTAACACCCAGTTGTGATTTACCTGGTTCCATTCATTGTTTGTGCATGAACTAATGATGCAGCTTCTGAAACGTGGGTTGCGGCTACGGACATTTGGCATGCTGAAAACTGGCAGAAGTCAGCGTAGACTGAGTGACTGAGTTTGGTTTCACGCCGCTTTTAGCAATATTCCAGCAACATCACGGCGGGGGACACCATAAATGGGCTTCACACATTGTGCCCATGTGGGGATTCGAACCCGGGTCTTCGGCGTGACGAGCCAACGCTTTAACCATTAGGCTACCCCACCGCCCCGGTCAGCGTAGAGAGATCAATACGACCAGTGTTTCAGTTTGTGATTAGCACACAATGGAAAAAGTACGAAAAACCTAAAATGTTGACGAACGACACCATTCAGGGCGTCCATGGCCAACGACAAGAGTACATGCCACAAATCCAGGCCAATGAAGTCGAGCTCAAAGGGAGACTCAAACTGCTGCAAACTTTCCTCAGACTTCTGGACTACCAGTTCCTGGTCAGATGATTGAAAACCTTCTCGCAGTTCACCTCCATACTGGACCGGTGGGGAAGCCTAACGGTTAAAGCGTCCGTCACGCTAAAGACCCGAATACGATTCCCCACAAGGGTACAATGTGTGAAGCTAATTCCTAGTATCCCCCGCCGTGATGTTGCTGGAGTATTGCTAAAAGCGGTGTAAAACCATACTCACTCACTCATCTCCATACCCGACGGCCTCGTGTTGTGTCGCCCTTACAAATCATCATATTGCCTACAGACGTGCATGGTGTACACGACAAAGATTTTGAGGTAATCGTCGCTGGTCATTTGTCATGTTTTCAGATAAGTCACTATTCATTTATAACATCCTTGATAACCGCGGTCGTGCTTGGGCCTTTGTCCAATGGGAAAAGTCTGTGACATGACAGGGAGACGTGTGCACCATATTCATAAGAAGCAACACTGGATGAACTTGGCGCGGTATAAGTTCCTTTAAATGGCCTTTTGGAGACTCATACGCTGTGACCGCCTCCGTGGTGTAGTGGTTAGAGCGTCCGCCCGGAGAGCGGAAGGTCGCGGGTTCGATCCTCGACCGCGTCATACCAAAAGACGTTAAGATATGGTACTTGTTGGTCCCTGTCTGTCGCTCGGCATTAATGGGTACAACAAGGACTGGTCGGCTCGGAGTCAGTATAATGTGTCTGGGTGGGGTATTCATGCTTCACTGCGGCATGGTATCTCAGTGTGCTAGCACTATAAAACCAGCTTTCAGTCTGGGCTAGTACAAGCAGCCGCACCTAACACATACACACGCATGCACGTCGTCACATGAGCGAAATATTCTCCAGCGCGACGTTAACCCAATTTCACCTCACCTAAGCTCACACGCTGTATGCTTTGTAAAATATACTGAGTCAAAAGAAACTTCACAAAATGTAATTTGAAAATAATGAATAATTTTTCTCTGATGATACATCTATGTATCCGAAATGGGATCCTATCTTTCGACTCTAGAAAAACGTTAGCAAAACCCACTCAAACCCATCCATTCGTCGTGCAAATGACGTTAGTGCCAAATCAGGTTTTGCACGTGCAGTCGATCACGTGATCTTCGCATCGAAGTTTTCTTCATATGCACGTGTTTGCATTGGCCTCAAGAATTGAAAAACACTTTTAAACCACAGTTCTAACGGTACTTGAAATGCCACGATTGTCAAATGTGCAGCGTGAACGTGCCGTTGGCATGTTGCAAGCAGGAAGATCAGTTATTGACGTCGCAAGAGCAATGGGATGCAGCCGTCGTACTGTGTATGACTTGCGAGGTCGTCTACAACAAACTGGCACCACTTCTGATCGCCCAAGGTCGGGTCGTCCACGTGTGACGTCACGAGCAGAAGACAAATCAAATCGTCCTACGTCACCTACGTGACAGATTTCTGCCGGCTACACGAACCAGGGCTGAGATGTTTAGAGGTCGACTGTCCTCACAGACCATTCGAAATCGGTTGCGGGCTGCCAATCTCCATTCTCGACGTCCATATCGTGGGCCAATATTGACGCCGTTTCATCAACGTCAACGTCTGCTGTGGGCCCAACGTCACCTCCGATGGACCCAGAGACTGGAATCGAGTCGTCTTTAGCGATGAATCAGGTTTACCCTCAGATTCGCGGACGGCAGGCATAGAGTCTGGAGACGACGTCGTGAACGGTATGCCCAATGTTGTGTACAGGAAGTCGACAGATTCGGGGGCGGAAGTTGCATGGTGTGGGGTGCTTTCTGTGGGAACAACCGTTCCCGACTTCTGGTCATCCGTGGAAACCTCACGGCTGCTGCTTACCGCGACCAGGTGCTCACCCTGAACTCGTTCCTTTCATGGCGGCTCATGGCCCAGGTCTACAGTTCCAGCATGATAATGCTCGGCCGCATACCGCGATGTTGACACGAAATTTCCTTCAAAACGCTGGAATCAACGTCATGGACTGGCCATCGAGGTCCCCTGACCTTAATCAATAGAGCACGTTTGGGATGCACTTGGGAGAAGGCTTCGTGGTCTTAGGAACCAACCTCAAATTTGCAGGAACTTGGCGCTGCCTTGCAAGAGCAATGGCGCAGAATCCCCAACCACGTGTTCACAAGCATCAGGCAGTCGATGAGGAGACGGTGTTTGGCAGTGGTGAATGCGCGGGGCGGCCATACACGATATTGAACTGAGAAATTTCGCATTTTTATTCTTGTGACTTGACATTCTGTATACCCATGTTTTGGAACGGCGGTGTAGCCTAATGGAACTGATTATGGCACTGTCAGTGTATCGAGTACATCACACAGATCTCAGCAATGAAATAATAACAATTTAACCATCTTACCATCTCTTGTTCTTTTATAGTGCCCTGAAGAAAGAATGTGAAGTTTCTTTTTTGACTCAGTTTCGCTTTTGAGCCGTTTATGAACGACTGCCAACACGAAGAACTTCTTCATGATAGCGTCGACTTCAATCTCTCATGGCGTGACCTTTCTGCGTTTCAAACCGTAAAGCCCATGCTTTTCAACAAGAGCAGCAAACTGGCAAACCGTCTCTTGAATTGCGTCGTGATCATGAGTGAAGTTGGTTTCACGTCGATTTTAGCAATATTCCAGCAATATCATGGCGGGGTCACCAGAAATGGGCTTCACACATTGTACCCATGTGGGGAATGGAACCCGGGTCTTCGGGGTGATTAGCGGACGCTTTAACTCAGCCTTCTGTGCAAGATGTCTGATGGAAGTGTAGACATTGTATCTGCTTTGTCCATGTTCTCTCTCTCATTCATCTCTATCACTTAAACTTCAGTAGTAATGTATGCCACAGTAATTTATAGAAATGTATCAAAATAAAAAATTGTTCGTTCAACTGAGCTGCCAAACTTGGGGTCGGTTGCAACTCCCTGGGCTCCTTTCTTGTAACACAGATCTGATGTTCTTTAACTTAAACCAAATCACTATCATTTATGTCTTGGATGTTGCTATTGTGTCAGAAGGTAACTACTGGCGCAGCTCTTATGTTAAAACGTATTTTTCAGGGCAGCGGCTCATACTTTTGAACGTATTTTTCAGGGGAGCAGCTCATACTTTTGAACGTTTTTTCAGGGGAGCAGCTCATACCTTAGAATGTTGTTTTCAGTGGGATTTACAGCTGACATAAACATCAATCTGTGAATAAGCACATGCGGATTATGAAAACGATTAGTGCATGAGCAAGCATTATTTAAACAAATCTTCGCATGTTCAATGCCCTACGGTCAGCAAATATTCAAGCTTAATCACGATGATTTATCAACTAACTTGCAATGTTAATCCAGTGAGTGAGTGAGTATGTGTGTATGGTTTTACGACGCTTGTACCAATAGTCCAACAAATATCACGGTGGGAGACAGCAGAAATAGGAATTCAACCTGGTCTTCAGTGTGATGGGCAAATGTTTAACAAATAGGCTACTGTACCATCCTCAGTGACTTCAGGAATTAACCCATCATATGCTATTAGATACAATGAGAAGAAGAATCATTAAGCCTGACCATTCCATTGTGACTGCCACTTCAAGATTATCGCACTTATAGTCTGACCAGCAAGCATATGTGCATGCTTCTTGTAATAGTCTGAATTTATGGTGGTACAACATCGATAGTGCATGAGATACCATGCCACAGGGTGAACCCGTGAAGATCCGGGTTAGAATTGATCTTCAGTAACCCATGCTTGTCGTAAGAGGCGACTGACGGGATCGGGTGGTCAGACTTAGACTTGGTTGACGCATGTCATCGTATCCCAGTTGCTTCGATCGATGGTCATGCTGTTGATCACTGGACTGTCTGGTACTGACTCCCATTATTTAGAGACCGCCACCATATAACTGGAATATTGCTGAGTGCAGCGTAAAACTAAACTCACTCACTTAACATGGGTGACCCAATCTGATGAAGTATACTGGCCCCAAGCCAACCAAGCAGGGTACCAACAAATAAAAGGTTGGGTTTTATGCTGCTGTTAGCAATATTCCTGCCAAAACACACTTGGGGACACCAGTAACCGAGCTTCACACAGTGTACCCAGGTGGGGCTTTGGTGTGATGAGTGAACGCTTTAACCACATGGCTACCCTACCATCCCCTGCTGTCTGGAGACCATGGAGTGAGTGAATTTAGTTTTACCCGCTTTTTAAGCAATATTCCAGCAATATCACGGCGGGGACACCACAAATGGGCTTCACACATTGTGCTGATGTGGGGAATCAAACCCGGGTCTTTAGCGTGAAGAGCGAACGTTTTAACCATTAGGCTACCCCACCACCCCATGGAGGCAGTGAAAAAGCAACAGTGCTTGGAATATATGCCATCCTGTAGCTGTGTACTCAAAAGGACAAATTGGTAGAATGATTTTGAATAATCACACCTTCAGTATCAATTACATGAACATAAGTTGTAACTTTAATAGTTTTTGACTGATGACATTCGATAAATGAAGACACTTGGGCAATTCTCTGCAATAACATTCTAACAGAAATAATGAAACGATATTGTAGCTGCATTATAGGTCTCATCATGGAAACAAAAATCATATCAACATTTGATGTGTGGTACAGGCAATTTCAAATATTCACCTCAATATTTACATTTCCAAAACAATCTAAAGTAAGAATAGATAGTGAGTTTAGTTTTACGCCACTTTTTAGCAATATTCCACCAATAACATGGCGGGGGACACCAGGCATGGGCTTCACACATTGTTCCCATGAGGGGAATCAAACCCTTGACTTTCGTATGGGAATGCATTTGACAATGAAAGCACCAATGAGTGTATGTTCCTGATGCAATATTCCAGACATCTGACAGCAAGGGACATTTGAAATGAGCTTAACACAGTCTATAGGTATTGGGATTCGAACCATGGCCTTCGGCCCAATGAGCCAACCACTAGGCTACTTCGACGTCACAGCACCAATAAGAAATTGTGCATGAACAATAGCAGCAACACCTGAGGCATTGAGAAGCTATCTGCCCAAGAATCTCCCACAGGCTCTGATGCAACATAAACAACATGCTTTAATGAAATATTTTATTGCATTGTAGGTCTTGTGCTGACAGAAATTAACATTTTGTAACAAAAGAATCCAATAGTGTGCACAAGTACCTTCAAATGATACATACTCAAACGTTTACTCGGGTACAGATTAAAAGCAAAATCAAAGACATATCTGCTTCCTCCAAAAATGTCCTAAAATTCTGGAGGTTACTTTATCATAAATGTTTGGATCATTAGCATTAAGTAATTATGTTTCCATCAACCATTCACCTCACTTCTACAAGAAAGAAGTACTTCAAGATGTCAGGCAGGTGGAAATAATTAATACAAATTCGCACAAGCAAGTGTAATGAGTTCATTCAGTACCTCCGTTTTAAACCAAGGGATTCCTTGGTTCTAGGCTAATATCCCAAGCAAAGGTTGGTTAGATAAGCTACTGTTACATCAAGACTACAAAAACAACAACAAAAACCAGTGAAGATCAACATATTTCATTTTGAAATACTTTCACAGTCAATAATAGCACAAAAGCTTGTTCAAATGTCAACATCATTACATGTGTCATATGATCAAAGAGTGACAAACTCAAAATATTTTCAGGTGTAATATATATCGACCTCATTTCCATAGACTTTAGCCTCTAAGGTCTATGACTGAGAACAGAAATCCTAATCCAGCAAAATCTTTTAGCTGATGCTACCCTGATTACATGATTAATCTGATTAGTGGCATTTTAGAACTCCAGTCATCTGAATAGTTAATGATCTTTCATTTTGAATGACACTTCTCACGACTGGACCACTATTTAAGACACTGGTGATGACAATGAAACCTAAAACCTGGAGTAAATTTTTTAAGACATTTCCAAAACTACCAACACAAAAAGAATGTAAAATAGTGAATGAATGAAAAGTATGCTCCCAGCACAGGTCAGAAGAATATAAAATATGCCAAAATGCACAGAACACTAGGAAAATAACACCAAAACATCTTTCCATTTACCTTCCCTCACAGCATGCAGGATCACATGTTGGAGCGAGTCAGTCATCAAAATGAAATTACCTTAAATCAACTTTAATACAAAATATAATTCTTGCTATGTAAATCATATAAAACAATCATCATAGACGAATTAATAACTATAGGACAAAACATGTGTTTGTCAGTGAACTACAATTCTACAGTTACTAAACAGAAAAACTACTGTGCCCAAGCATTTCATGGACAATAACTCTTGAGGTTCTCCCACATACTGCTAGTCAGTGTCATTATTAAAAAGGCAAGGTCTTTTAGAGGCTCCAATACAAAATATACATTGCATTCTATTATGGTGTTAGTTTAATACATGAAGGGCACTAATACCCTCTTTTCTGGATTTTTTTGAAAAAGCTATCTCCTGCACAGGATGCAATGAATGAAAGAAGACCAACAGTACAAAATGTACACCATAACACACAAATTGTATAATAAAGTAACACATTAAAACATCTGGGTCATAATTATGATGCATCAGACTTGAACACAGTGAAAGTATTTCTGATCGATGCATCTTCACTGTTGTGCACCATGAGGCGCAGTCAGCATTGTCAGCTAGTTTGACAGACTTTTAACCCCAAATTTCTATGGACAATCGGATGTTCCAGGCCATGCATTTTCCATCTTCAGTTTCATTCCACACATGATTGCTGCCTATTGTCAAAAAATCTGATGCTCTCAACTTCTCTCATTTCCTCTGCTGCTGCTGGTAATGCTGAGCACGCAGAATGTCTTGCTTACGAAATCTTCTCCTTTTCAAAAACCTTCTTGGACCATCAGGCCCTGACAGATTCTCTGGACTTTCACCTGGTTTTAATCTTATGGGCTTGTTTCTTCCAGATCGTACGAAATCTATGAACTCATCATACTTGGGTAGTGCCTCCTTTTCGACAAATGCATAACCACCATTCTCTCCATCACTCTTGTTCAAGATTTCTACAACCTTCTCGGGTGAATGTTTTTGATAGAGGACAGTTATATCATCCCCCCTCCTTCGTTTTCTTGCAATAGAAGTACTGCTTCAAGCTGGCCACCATAACTTTAACATGTTTGGTTTCATTTTCAGGTAGCCCTGGGCCAAAGATAAGTTCATCCATAGATTCTGTGCTGGCATATTCCTCTATCATCTTATCTAAGATGACTTTAACCCACTTGTTGACTGGAATGGTTGGCGGAGGAGCAGGGTTACCATCAGCACCTTTGTCAGTGTCGTTGTCCGGGGCGTCTGGAGGAGCAGGAGCAGCATCTCCGGGTGCCTTTTCTCCCTCGTTTGCTTCATTCTGGGCTGCATCTGCAACAGCTGAAGTGCTGTCACTACCTCCTATGCTTGTATCATTGTTTTCTGATGAGGGAGCATCAGAATTCCCTACAGCACTGCCCTTTGCCTCCTCCTCCTTCGGTACTAGTTCATCCTTTTCAGGCTGCTTCGGGACATAGTCATCCACATAGACGATGTCATCTGTGCCAGTGTCCCCACTCTCTGCTTTCATCTTGTCAGCTAAAGCCTTGATGGACTCAAAGGTGTGCCAAATGGATGGTTGATCTAGGGGGACGATCTGTGAAGAAACAATACATTGACATAATAATAAACAATGAATGTGTTTCATGTATGGATCAAATAATTGATAATCATTCATACAGGTATACAATAAATACAGCTCACATTTATTACGTGAATCAATACAAGAGAACATTTGCATAACTTAACTATGTTGTCAGTCAGTACACCACATACATGGTCCTATGGAACTTGTATCAGCCTGTGTCTAGTAACAATTAGTTTGGTCAAGTAAGCTTAGCTTTGCCAGCAGTCTCAAACATATTTGGCAGATTGTTGTAGCCATGAAAAACCCTGAAACTGTTTGAACATAGCAATTAAGTAAGCTTAAAATAAAAACATGTTTAAATAACACTGAATAGCATTGTTCATCACAAGCAATTTAAAGAGATATGGCAGACTTTGAAGCAATTAGGTTTTAATAATCATATTCAAATCATCAATGTAACAAATAATTCTAATTTCTATTCATGAATTCCTTCAAAAATTAATTAATACATTAAAATTCCTTTTCAAATGAAAGTTTCAAACACAGTCCAACCTACTGGACTGTACCTAGAAGTCATGGATGACTGTTATCATCATTAGGCCAAAATCCAAACATAAAATCTCAAGATATTAAGGTCATGATCAGTGTAATGGGGCACACACCATTGGTTAAATCTGACTGGTCTGCAGCTCACTCTGGTTAAGTGGCATGTCAAAATTTAACTAATTAAATACAATTTAAGAAATAAGTATATTTTAGGGGGGAAAAATGACCTTATGGTTCTACACCGCTTTCAGCAATATTCCAGCACTATCACGGCGGGGGATGTCAGAAATGGGCTTCACATATTGTACCCATGTGGGGACTCAAACACGGATCTTCAGCATGACGAACGAACGCTTTTCACCACTAGGCTACCCCACCGCCCCACATTCTGGCAGAATCAGGCAGTGTATGTATCGAATAGCCTTCCATCCCAAGGAAATATCTTGTCAGTGAATTATTACTCCTGTATAATTTGCATAACTTCCTTACTTAAAGTAATTCAAATCTTTTTAAACATTGGATCAAATCTACAGTCTTCAATTAATTGCATTCATTTCACACAAAGTAAAATCTGACTGATCCAGATCCGTCACTCTTGATTCCAGACATCATGGACCATGGACCAAGTCCTGAATCCGGACAGACTTCTCACACATTATACTCTCATGTCCGGTCAGCTGATTCTTGTCAAATGTGCTTTCAACACAGACTGATGCCAAGAGATCCCTCGGCTCAAAAAACGCAACGAGTATCACAAGCCATGTCTGCTGTTAGTGCAATAACATTGCTTGGAGTGGAGTGATGGAGCATCTTTTAAAGCCCCTTTTAGCGATATTCAAGCAAAATCACTGCAGGGCATACCAGAAATGGGCTTCATAGCACCAATTTGGGGAATAAAACCCGGGTCTTCAGCGTGCCAAGTGAACGCTTTAACCACCAGGCTATCCAACCTGCTTGGATTGAAAGTTTGTCTTCCAGTGTTTGGAAAATCAGGCATTGCTGGTGTAGCTTGGGATTCAAAACATTGCCAGCCATGTAAGTTATCGGGTATACCTGTATGTTGTCTTTGTTGTTCATTGGGTGGGGGTCGGCCTTTCTCCGAGGTTTATCATGTAGGAATTATTGTACATGTACGTCTTCGATCTTGACTGTTCACTTCCAGTGAGAAACCAAGGGGTGTAACTCTTGCTAGAATTAGAATTACTGTCTTGTCTGGTGAATGAGTGAGTGAGCAAGCGAGTTGGTTTAAACGCCATGTTTAACAGTATTCCAGTTATATAACGGCGTGAACGCGTAAGAGAGCCAGAAAGCCCAAAGAGATGTAGGTCTCAGGGTTTTCCCCTTTGGTGACACCTACAAGCATGAGTGTTGACAAATCCAGAAACATAATTGGGGTGAACCTGTGATCAAACCCACAATCATAGGTTTCTGGAGTGTCTTGCCAAGGGATGCAACTCTATAAAGTAAATAGCGACATCTTAGATGACCATGCCTCGGACTGAATGAGGTGAGATGAACTAATGCCAGTATTATCAGGTCTTTAGTGCTAGCCCATTGAGATGCGTTGCCAACAGTTCAACATGGATACCCCACTCACTGAATACTGGCTCTCAGGCAACAGGCAGGTTAACAACAAATACCATCATTAGGGTATCATTAGGATCAGGGTAATGACTCATCTGGACTGCTGATTAATCCAGGCTTAATTCTGGTCCAAAACAAGTCAGGATTAGACAGATTACACAGTACCAATATGATCATGGTTGCAATGTTTGCAAACGATTGTTACCAAACAAGTCACAGCCTTCCACTGCAAAGATAAACCCTAGGCACATGGGCCAACTGGGTAACCCGACTCACTTGAAGATCAGGAATCACCTTCAAAGACTTCAAAACATGACACTAGACACTTAAATAATCGGCGTGCCCTCTGCATATAACTGCACAAAGAACGACACATTTGAACAGTTTATGAATTCTCTGAATGTCATGTCACCATGACTCAGAGCAATTGTTGTATATCAGAAAGAATACCCCATCCTTTTCATGGTGGTAGATGAATCAATTGCTGAATCACCTGGTGTGTCTTGTTAATCGAATATTCATCGATCACATTCACATTCACGAGTGCTTTTCCACTTCCAATGTGCAAATGTGTATCTATATCTGCTTGAATAACAAACATTGTCTCAAAATAGAGTTGTAAGTATGTGCCCTTCGCTGTTTGAGGCACTGTAAACAAATCTTCACCATCACTGGCACTCAAGAGTATCAACATGATGCTGGTAAACTCATCATGCCAGATGGTCAAAGACGTACCAGGACACCAATGAATTTATACAAACCTGTAGAGGTTATGAATTATTTGAAGAAAGTCCTCCTTGGGGTACATATAAGCATTTAAATGTCCATTTAAATTCCCACGACAGATGTAATTGTATTTTTTAATAAAATATTTACACAACAAAAAATTGTTTTTGTCTTGTGAGACCACCCCTACAGGGCCCCCTCCAGCCAAGAGCAGGTAACTCTAGCCGTCAACCTCGCACCTCACTTTTCATGCTGAACGTATCAGACAGAATGAGGGGAGGCGGGTGGCCGTACCCTAAGGAGGACTTTCTTCAAATAATTCATAACCTCTACAGGTTTGTATAATTCTTTTTCAGAAGAAGTCCTCCTTGGGGTACATATAAGCATTAAACAGACTCCCAAAGACAAAGGAGCCGGGAGTGGTATTCTGTCTAACAAGGTGATCCATAGATAGTAATAATCTACAACCGTACGGAAATAGAGAAAATTACACTCACCTAGTCACCTGACCGCTGATGTCAATGAAGGCGGGGGGCGTGACTAAGCCGTGGACCCCTATAGCTGACATAGCCTATATGCCGATTGGCTGATCGGATATTACATCCCCAGTCAAACCCCACCCCGAATTAAGTTGCGGAGGGGTGTAAAAACCAGGAACTCGCCAAACCAAACTACTGTCCATAGCGCACAGCTCACCAAGCGTGGAAAATGGAAAGTAAAAGTAAGGCACCGATGCACCAACGGATAGCGGGACTAAAAACCACCACCAGATACCGTCACCGATAAAAGGGGGATGATAGAAACCCAACACCAAGTGCAAAACAGAGTTAGTATCTGGAAAGCTCAATCGGCTTGAGAGGTGCTACTCTGTCCACTGCGTAGAACCGTCTGGCCAAACCAAGCACGCTCACGTGAGTGTTTGTCCAGCTGATAATGACAGATGAACGTACTCGGTCGGCTCCAAACAGCCGCTAAGCAGATCTCCTCAATGGGCAGAGCAGCAGCGTAGGCGAGGTAGCTACTGCACGCACCGAATGAGCTTTCAACACCTTTTTTTTTGGGGGGGAGAGAGAGAGAGAGAGATAAGCCTTGTGTATGTAAGACATACAGATGGCAGACACAATCCACCTTGACAAAGTTTGTGTTTTTGCTGGATGACCTACCTTGCCACCGCCGTAGCAGCAGAATAACTGTTTATCCTTACGGATGAACGCTGTTCTCTTAATATACGCTTTTAAGCTCTTGACGAAGTCTAACACATGAACCTTACGGTTAGTGTTACCAGACGACGCAGGAAGCGTGAAGATCTATAGGTGCCGCAATATGAAACGCAATATCGATCTTAGGGCGGTAAGAATCTGGTAAGCGGATACTTACACGATCCTTATGAAACACGGTAAGCTCCGGGTCCGATGACATAGCATGTATGTCACCGACCCGTCTTCCAGATGTAACCGCTACTAAAAATGCAGTCTTCCAACTTAGTAGCTGGAGAGACAAATTTGCCAAATCGTAAAAGAGAGGACTGGACATCCAATCTAAAACGAGAGACAAGTCCCATGTGGGACTGGACCGACGGACGACCGGACGCCTGCTAGGAAGCGCTGCACCAGAGGGTGTTGCCCTAACAGGGCACCCTCAATGGGAATGTGGAAGGCTGAAATAGCCGTGGAGTAGCCTCGGATAGTAGACGCAGCTAAGCCGGACTCTAACCGAGACTGTAAAAACTCCAACACCTCGACTACAGTCGAGGAAAAGGGATCGAGAATCCCTCTGTTTCCACACAAGCGTGCATAACAGGCCCACCTATCCTCATACTGTACGTAAGTCGAATCCCTCCGCGAAGCCAGAATTGTGTCTGCAACTGGTGCAGGAATTCCGCTCGGTTGGAGGCGATTCCGGACAGAGGTCAAGCCACCCACTGAATCCTGGGATTCGGGTGTGGCGCGCCTTCCTTGGATAGTAGGTCTGGTCGCATTGGTAATAGTACAGGAGGCTGGACGAGCGACCTGAGTATTACCGGAAACCAGCGCTGAGACGACCACAGAGGTGCAAGAAGCACTAGTAGTCGGGCTGGTTTGGTGGCTAGCTGCGAGAGGACCCTGGAGATCAGCGGTATCGGTGGGAAGGCCCACAGAACCCTGCCTGTCCAATCCAGCTGGAAGGCATCGGAGGCGATTGCTCTCGGGGGCGATTGCTCTCGGATCCGGGATCCGTGAGCAGAACACCGCAGTCTGGTTCGTCACCCCAGAGGCAAACAGATTCACCTGGAGCGACCCGAACAACTCCTGGTTGAGTAACCACTCGTGAGGTGCTAGTATTAGACGTGAGAGCGCATCTGCACGAACGTTGTCCACCCCTGGGAGATAAACAGGCATAACCTGTATGCTGAACTGATCGCACCACAGTAGAAACTGCCACGCCTTCTGAAGGAGTGACAGAGACACCGTACCGCCCTGCTTCAGGATATAGGACATCGCCGTTTGGTTGTCCATTTCTAGGCGAACCGCACGGTTCCGAACCTGATCCAGGAAGCGTTCCAACACCAACTGGACTGCTCTCAATTCCAGCACATTGATGTGCAGGGTCGCCTCGTTCACGGACCAAAGGCCTGAAGCTGTGGTCGCCCAGGACACCCACACCCCACCCCCACCCCTGTGAGGGAGGCGTCAGTCTGAATTGTGAGTATCGGCACCGGGGTCTCCAACGGTGAACCCTTGGATAGATTCCCGGGTGTCGGTCCACCATCGTAAGTGAGGAATGAGCCACTCCGGAGTTACCAGAATCCTCTCGTAACTCTCTGACTGAGACCACAGCTGCGCTAGCGCTTGCTGAACAGGTCGCATCCTCAGGCGTGCACGCCAAACTATGTCCACTGTCGCCTCCATGTTGCCTAGCAACTGAAGCCAAGTTTGAGCTGAGGCCCTAGGGGACTGGAGGAATTGAAACACAATCCCCTGGACTTTGGGAATGCGGTCCCGAGACAGAGAGACTATACCCTGTTTTGTCTCGAATCTCGCCCCCAAAAAATCCTGGGTGGGAACCAGTTCTGATTTCCTGAGGTTGATAATCCAACCCAACTTGGTGAGAGTATCCATCACTGACTGTGTGGAATCCTGACTCAAGTGGGTAGCGAGTGCCCTGGGAAGCCAGTCGTCCAGGTACGGGTAACAAAAGTTGCCCTGTGCCCTGGCGACCTGCGCTGGCTCTAGCATGAGTTTGGTGAACACCCTTGGCGCCGTGGAGATGCCGAAGGGGAGCACACAAAACTGAGCGCACTTCCCGTCGAAGGAAAACCGGAGGTATTTCCAAAACTCGGGGTGCATCGGTACATGGAGGTATGCATCTTTGAGGTTGATTGACGTTAGCCAATCCCCTGCCTCTACAGATGAGATCACTGAACGCAGTGTCTCCATCTTGAAAGACGGCACCTCTATTAAATCGTTCAGACCCCTGAGATTGAGAATGGGTCTGAACCGTCCATCCTTTATGGTGACCAGGAAATAAGTGGAGTAAAACCCCAGACTTTCCTGGCCCACGGAACCATTTCGATGGCTCCCTTGTCCATTAACGACTGGCCCTCGGCACGGAGTATATCCGCCTTCTCCTGAGAGTTTGGCACCTGAGTGCAAAGAATCCGGGAGAAAGGAGGAGGGCCTCGCTTCCAACGGGCATGTGGCCATCCCTGAGTGTGGACAGGACCCAGGGATTTGATGTGACTTTCTCCGATTCCCGAAGGAAGAGAGTCAGTCCGCCGCCGACAGGGACGTCGGGTAACAGGCAGTGAATTCTGACGGTCGGCAGTGTAGCAACTGCTTGTGCCAAGACCACCACGGGCTCCGGAGGATAGCTTACTGGGAAGCCGGGGCCGACTTCCCCTGCCTCTGAAAAGGCTGCTGAGCCTTGCCCTTGCCTTTGCCTTTACCCTTGCCCTTCCCCTTGCTTGCCTGAGGTGGAGCAGTCCACTTAGGCACCTCCTTCCCCGTAGAAGAAGGATATGCAGCGACAAGGCCGGAAGGCCGGGCGCGTGAGGTGAGGGGTTGTTCAAGTAAGGGCTTGGAGTCCTTAAATTGACTAACTGCCTCCGCGGCCTCCCAGACCACTGTCAAAGCCCCCGGGAATAGGGTGGAACCCATCCTGAAGGGCAAAGAGAGCAGTGCCTGCTGTGTAGCCGGTGAGTACCTGGCGACCGACAGCCATAACCTACGAAGGCCCATAACAGCACTCATCATCTGGCTTGCGCACGACCGGATGGCGTCGCAGGCCAGATGAGAGTGAACCTCTGTAAGTTGCCTTGCAGGGCAGAGAGGTAAGCTGAGTGGACAGTAACCCGAAGCTGCTGCACGGCGTTGCGGTATTGCTCCTCAAAGGAGCGGTAAACATACTTCAACACCTGGTTACTGGAGAAGAAAGATGGCAAGCGTCGGCCCTGACGAGCCGAGGCTTGGCTGTGGCCGGATGATCCCCCTAGGGCGATCAAGGCATAGATGCACTCGTCAACCACTGGGGGATCAAACAACACTTCCTCTCCCATCAAGTAGCAGCGGTTGAGCTCGGGGAGATCAAACCGTGACCGACTACCTGACAGGAGAGGGTTGATTACTTCACTGCAAAGCGTAGGTAATATGCGTAGCCGGGTATCGGCAACCCAACACGGAAGGAAGGCTTCACCTGTCAGGGCCGTCCGAGGTGACAACCACCTGAGGCAATACAGCAGCGATGCGCTCGTGCACCTGCCTCAGGGACGAGCCAAGCGAGAAGCTAGCTTCTCCCAGCTGATCCCGACCCCCATCCTCATCCATGGCTTCCTCCTCCCGCTCCTCCAGGCAAGAGCTCTCTGCATCGAGAGTCGGCTCTGAAGGAACAGAAGAAGGGGCCACGGACAACGACAGAGGATCGAGAAGCGCTGAGAAGCCTGGCTCGAGGCTGAGCCTGGGTGCCGAGATCCGAGGGAAGAGCCCGCCATGGTGGGATTCCCCAGAGCGCTGGAAGGTATCGAGGGAACCGGCGGTGCCGGTGCTCGAGAACCCACAGCATGACAAAAACGAGTTTTTGTGTTGTAAATATTTTATTAAAAAATATAGTTACAACTGTCGTGGGAATTTAAATGGACATTTAAATGCTTATATGTACCCCAAGGAGGACTTCTTCTGAAAAAGAATAATAGTTCCATTAGTCATACTGTTTTACCAGGGAAGACTTTAATTTTACCTTGATAGTCGTCTGAGTCAAGTACAACTTGAAAAGCAGCTTAACAGAAGCACGGTTGGTAGCATCAAGATTGTGCATGGAGACAGCTTCAGACATCAGTTCACCCTGTAAGAACAGCTGACATCTGAAATCGAAAAAGATCAAATTGGAAATATGTACAGTAGCAAAACACAAGAACTAGATCAACACAAATTTATGTCTATTTCATCTTCTGCAATCAGTCACAGATTCATTCCTTTTTTAAACATTTGTGCAAATATAGATAACTATCAGAGCAAAGTTTGGGCACAAACACAACCTGATGTCTGAGACAAGTTAAAGTCCTGAGGGGCAAATTGGTCCATCAAGCTTCTTTACACAACTGATAGTCCCAAATGAGCTGAGGACTTGTTGCATATTGAACAACAGTGTCTTCCTCTGTACTATCCAAATTCAGATCAGATTAAATCCCTTTTAAGCTGAGGTTATTAAGGGCATATGTACTGTTTCCAGATAAAATCATAATTTCTACCACAGAGTGAGTGACTCTAGTTTTACACCACTTTTAGCAATTTTCCAGCAATATCACAGTGGGGTACACCAGAAATAGGCTTCACACATTGTACCCATGTGGGGAGTGAGTGAGTTAAGTTTTACGCTGCTATTAGCAATATTTCAGCAATATCATGATGGGGGGAAGGGAAAGACACACCCATGTCGGGAATTGAACCTGGGTTTTTAGTGTGACGAGCAGAGGCATTAACCATTAGGCTACCCTACCACCAATCAACCACAAAGAAATCAATACATACCTGTACAAGTCACCATAGTTTGTGGTTTTTCCTTGGAGAAGCATGAAGTTATTGGTAGCACTAAGCTGCAAAATGTCATATGCCCTTCCAAATCGGTCAAATCCTGATTTCTGATTCTCAAAGAGAATGATGTCTTTGTTGGGCCTCTTCATCTCTGTGTAGTCTGGATCCCCCTTGACAAGGATGGCCTTCTTCAGGTTTCTTACTTTGGACCAATTTGACCAGTGCATCATCTTGTAGAACCCTTTGATCCACACCTCAGATACCAATGGCATATTCATCAATTCTGAGTGAACCAATCGTTTGGAGTCAGCGAAAAGAACATCAGATGAGCTGGTGCACAGGGCCTTCAAGGTGTTCTTATACGCAGTTTCCTCAGCCTCTAATCTTCTGAAGCCTTCACCATCAGCAACGAAGATGTTATCCAGGTAAACTTCACATGACATGCTTGATCTGGTATGGTCTGAGGGACCCCGTTTGTAGACATTTGTGACTGTCAAGCCATACTCTCGCGCAGTATTGTCAAGCTCTACGCTCAGGGGTGTTGCTCTAGAAATGTCCATAGCATCGCTGATCAAGTAGGCCAGCTTCTCTTCAGTTCTATCATCTGGTAGTGGAATATGATTGTTTCCAAGTGCATGAAAAGCTGGAGAAGACGGAAGCTTGGGATCAAGTTCATCCAATGTGCTACCTTCCAGGATGACAAAAAGTGGGACTCTTCTCAAGATGTTCATACTTCTTTCGTACGTAATCTGCTTCGCAATTTCTTTTGATTTTCCGGAAGCCCCAGCAATCAAGGTGTCATTGATGATAAACCTTCCTCGATACCACACTTCACCACCTGGCAATGCAACTTCTTCATCACTGTATTCGCGAGAGAGTCCACACCCTGAGTTTATGAATGCATCGTCCAACTCAACAATAACATCATGAGGAGATTTTTTGCCACTCTTCAGATATTCAACCAGCTCTAATAGTTTCTCTTCACGGGACCTCAGTGTAATACCTTCATTGAGTTTCATACTTTCTGCCAGCACCTCAATTTTCTTCTTTTCATAATCTTCCAGTATTTGCTTTTCTGTTGCCTCTGGACCAACATCTTTTAAAGCCATGATTTCCTCCACTGTTTTGTTTGTGAGGATTTCAACAGCTTGCTGGTAGCAGTCCTCCTTCACTTCCCTTTTCTTGTAACCAATGCTTCTTGCAAGGAAGACTGAACTTAAGTACAATCGTCCTGACATCTTGTCGCCTCCATCTGCTCTCACCTTCACATCATTTCTGTAGTCTATCCTCAGGCCATGTTTGCAAGTCTCAACAGAATGATCAATGAAATTAATAACATCAACAGTGATTGAATTCTGCAATTTGATGTATTTGATCATTTTTTCAAGTTTTTCAGGTATTGGAGTTTTATCCTTTTCTGATGGATGAGGACGTTCCCATCTCCTCTTCTGCATTCCCATTCCCATTCCCATCCCCCTATGAGGACCAGGACCTCCACCTCTGCCCCTGTACCAATCAAAACCGCCGCCACCACCAAAACCTCCACGTGGTCTTGGCCCATCTCCAAATCGGAATCCTCCGAAAGGACCTTGCCCAAAATATCCTCCTCTCATGCCTGGGAAGTGTTTCTGATTGCCAAACGGCATCCCCATCATGTCTGGAGCAGGACCACTGTAGCCATGGTTTGGTCTAGTTGCTGGAGTCCCCAGGAGGGTTTTCCCTTCATTTGAAACTGGGGCTGTGTCTTCAGCTGCTTGCTGACTTGGTGCATTTTCAGTAACTTGGCTTACAGCAGGAACTGGTGCAGCAGGAGCGGGTTCCTGAACAGAATTTCCATTTCCAAAAGGCTTCTGAATATTTGCATTTCCTGTTTGTGGTGGGGCAGTCTCATTATTTCCAAAGGTTGTACCCCCACTTGCTGTTTGACCATAGTTAGTTCCATATCCCTGATTTTGACTATAGCCGCCTCTCTGACTGTATCCAGTCGGTTTACTCTGCTGACCTCCTCTCCAATTTCCTCGATAATAGCTAGAGCTGTCACCATAGCCATAATTGGAGTCAACGCCAGTAGAAGTGCTATAATTGTATCCTTGTCCCCATCCTCCGCTGTAGCTGGATTGACTGTACTGGTTCGGGTCTACCCCATAACCTGTGTTCTGGTCCTGCCCAGTAGTCGTCCCTGTCCAACTGTTCGTTCCTGTTTGTCCAGTCCCCCATCCTTGTCCATAGCCAGCATAACTGCCCCAGCCATAGGAATCAGCCCCCGTTTGCTGCTGTGCCCCTCCGTAGCCTGTGCTCCAGCTGGTGGTGGTGGGAGCAGTGTAACCGGTGTTGGTGTTGGTGTTGGTGTTGGTGTTCTGAGTAGCGTAAGGGTAGGGTGGTGGTACAGGATAAGATCCAGCTGTACTCCAGGTATTAGCATCCATTTTCTGTTTCTTACTGTCCGTCTCCCCTGTGTCCATACTCCCATACTGATACTGAGTATTAGAGTCCATGATTCTTGTTGTGCTTGATCAGCACCTGGAAGAAACAAAGATCACTGATTAGTTACTGAGTGAGTGAGTTTAGTTTTACACCGCTTTTAGCAATATTCCAGCAGTATCACGGCGGGGGACACCAGAAATGGACTTTACACATTGTACCCATGTGGGGAGTAAGTGAGTGAGTTTAGTTTTACACTGCTATCAGTATTAGCAATATACCAGCTATATCACCGCGGGGAACACCCATGTGGGGAATTGAACCGGGTCTTCAGCGTGACGAGCGGGCGCTTTACCACTGGGCTACCCCACAGCCCCGATTAGTTACTGAAAAAGAGTACAATTTAGGCTACATTCCAGCCATATCAGGTTTGAGAACCAAACATGAGCTTCACTCACAGGGAAGGACATTTACCAAGCTCGAGTGTCCAGACAAGCTTTCATAACGTTTACAGTCTCTAAAAGGGTACAATAATTTAAACAATTTTGGGACATCAGTGAATGTTCACAGAATTATCACTATTAGGGTCAGTAGATGCTATTGGTTCATTCCACACATTGTTTCCATGTGGCAGTGCAGGAGAGATTAATCAAATAATTGGTCTGTTGAAGGATCTGGAAAGTCAGAAAGATTTTAGGCCTGTTGAAATGTATATTTGATCCTAGAACATCACGTGAAATCAAAATAATAAAGAATGGTGTTTCCCTGTCACAACCTAAACTATTCATGTGAATTCATTGTTATACAGTACAACCAGAAATTATTGAGAATTTAAAGATTGTAAAAAATTTATTTTTTCACTCATTCTCATGTATTAAATGTGAATATTAGCAGAAAATAACCCCAGATTCAAAGACAGGTGAACAGTTAGTATTTTGTCAAGTCACCATTGGCAGCAACGCAGGCTTCAATGCGGCGGGGCATACGACTGATCAAAGAAGTTAGAAAGTCGTGGTCCATGCTGTCTCAATATCGGACCACCTCTTCTTTCATTTCAGCAATATTTGTCAGATTTTTCTTATTGACACTTTCCTTCATAAGTCCCTAAACATTTTTATTGGATTTAGGTCAGGGCTATAGCTTGGCCAATCTAATAATGTCATATTTTGGGTCCGAAACCAGGCCTGTGAATGCTTTGAATGATGTTTTGGGTCGTTGTCCTGCTGGAAAATCCAAAACTTTCCATAGAACACGTGAGCAGATGGAAGTAAATGTCCCTCGAGAATATCTGTGTACCGCTCACTGTTCATATTCCCTTCAAATACACAGAGGGGCGTTGCCCCTAACACAGATATGCCACCCCACACATTAAATTTCGGACTGTACTTTGGGCGCTGATACAAAGGTTTTTCAGTTTGTTTGGTCCAGAATTTCAGTGTATTAGGAAACAGCCACACAGAACTTCATCTGAGAAAATCACATTGTCCCAGTTAAAATTTCTATGCTGTAAGCACTAGTTCAACCTTTGCTCCTTTTGTTCAGGTTTCATGATCGGTGATGGAATTCCTCGACTTTTCTGCCAACCCATTGCATGCAGCTCAGTTCTAATTGTCTCCTTACAGACAGCCACAGTTCCTCTATCAATCATATCCAGCTTTAAGTTTTCTAAACACCTTCGTTTGGTTTTAGAAACAAAAATACCAAGCCGCCTCCTGTCACCGACAGTCAATTTTCTGGGCCTACCTGCGCCTCCCTGGTGCTCAATGCCATATCCATTTGCAATATTTTTCAAAACGAGATAAACAGTGGACAAAGGGATGCCTGTTCTACTTGAAATCACTTTAGCTGATCTGATGTCCTTGTTATAATACTCTAAAATCAACTTCCTCTTCTCTAAATCATCCATACTGGGGATCACTGAAAATGTCTTCTGCTAGCAAGTAAACTAAGGGGGATAACTCTTCACAAACTAATGAAAAAGGATTAACAGAGTTGTCTCTCTTGAATGAAACCAAGCACTTGATAGCTGGTCAAGGTTGTTTATACTAGAAATCCAAATAAACACATTTTTAAAATTCTCAATAATTTCTGGTCATACTATACACAAAATAGGTACCACTATAATAGCTAAAATTTCCTGTAATGGGTCAAAATCATAAGCGCTACTGCTTCCTGCCTTAGTGTCTGGATAAGCTCTATTTGATGCATCACTGGCCTTGTCAACCCTTACAATCCTTCATAGCATAACGTTTATCTTGTATATTATATAACTGTACCATATAAACGTGACATACATTGATTATAAAGATAACAGCGATACAATTCTATATTCAGCTGGGTTTAACACCTATTTGAACTGTATTCAGGTTATACCATGGCCTGTCAGCTTGATGTGGGAGGTATGACGGCTGTCTTAGACATCACCACTTTGGTCAAAACCCACAAATGCACATACTGACACAGCTGGTAGGATAATTGGGATAATGAATGTATGAACTAAAAACTACTTATATAAAGAGACTCAAACACTGAAGGAATTGTCACTGATTTAACAGTGATGTTCTCTGTACTAATAATATAACAAAACCTGGCTAAAAATCAATATACATGTATATCAAAACTCAAATATCAACCAGACAACTGTTAATATGAGGACTTTATGACATATACTGTAAACGTATTATATTTCGCGCAGGTTTTATTTTCGCGCTTTTCGCGCAAAACATTTTAGCGCGAAAATTTATACACCGCGAATAAACCTGTCATTCATTCAGTCTAGCCACGCTCGCCCCTGAGTTGTTACCATAACACATCAAGTTTGAAGACAGAAATCTACGTGAATCTTAAAATGACGACTGATAGTAGCATAAAGAATCATACTTAACTGTTGCTGTAATGTATTTCCCAAAACATAATTAAATAATGAGCCAAATCCCATCGCCGAATTAGCGAAAACAGCAATGTGTGTTGTGGCCGCCATGGAAATTGGTCACATGACAGATGGTTTGATACAAAACAGATTACCATGAAACAACTCGGAAAGAAATAATACAGCAGTATTTTATTTATTCATTAAGATTTTATTTACCAGTACATCATGAAGCGAATAGTCACTTAACACTCAATCATCTCATTCACAACAACCCGGCTTGTTTGAAATCACAAAGAGCTTCATATACAGTAGAAGTTAATTCGTCAGATCGTCAGAATTCGGAACATAAGACTGATGTGTTTTCAGTTTTTCACCTCTTCCGGGAGTAAACGGATTACTGTGTACTAGTATATCGCACAGATAGGGATTTCCTGTGAGTAAGCAATAAACGCCGCCTGACAGGTTAAGCCACTCTGTTTGTTTTCACTGCTATTAGTGGTGGCCAAAGAGACAGCTGGCAGTTCCAGCAATTACTGATTGCGCGAATAATTGACCGAGCGATGTAGTCTAAACTGTCAATTCCGCGAAAATTGCACCACGCGAAAATAAGTACGTTTACAGTATATCTCTGATTAGTTGACAGTGGGAATTCCATGCTGTAATTGATATGCAAATTACAAGTGGCAAATACCAAACAAAAATGCATCTGTCAGTTGGTGATTACCTTGTGACCGGCATGTGCAATTAATGCAACAGGTGTTGGGAACTAGAGCTTGCATTGTCCTTAATTATTGATCGTTGTTGTCCATGATACCGTTATTGAATGACACTTAATATGTTGGTTAATTTCAAACCAGCGTGAAAGCTTTGCTTGCTGGAACCCATTATGTTTTTTACCATCAGACATTTATTTTGCATGAAGAAAATATGCCAATACCATCAATGAAAGTAATCTAAGAAGACTGATTATCAATATGAATTTGCACATATATAATAATCACAAGTATTTGACACGGGTTGGTTGTAATTTTGTCTGTCAAAACCGTAGCTGAAGTTGTTTAGAGGCGATCGCATAGCCTTGTTGGTGAAGCGTTCACTCATCATGCCAAAGGCAAAAGTTCGATTCCCAACACAGTTACAATATGTGAAGCCCTGTTCTGTTGTCCCCATCTGAATATTGTTGGAACATTGCCAAAAATGGGTGTAAAACTCCACTCACCAACACAGATAATTTTTTTACCCTCAAGTCTATACCATGTTATTTGTCACCTATTTAGTGTTTTTAAACATGAAAGTTACAGGGCTCGAAACTTCCGCTCGTATTGACAAGTAAAATTTGTTTCGTGCAAGTGAAAAACATAATTAGCTTGTCCTAGAGGACATGAATGTTAGTTTTTTTGTTACTGTAGTCAAATCAGAATAAGCTTAATAATAGCGAATTCCCTGCTTGTTATTACCGATCGTTTATCGTAGTCAGCTTTTCATTTGGGTGGTGATTTGTTTTTATTTTTATACATAGGTAATATCCAGGTTAGATAAAATACTGGATATATTTTACCACGTACACTAACCTGAAACTTAGATTAAACAAAGATTTTGTACAGAAGACAAAGTAAAGTTTATTGTAGTTTTATTCCAAGCAAACATTTTGAAATAATCAATCATTTTGTTGCATGATCTATTGTGCAAGTACAATTTTAGAAGGACGACTGGAAAGTTCATATTACTCACCCTGCAGGGCGAGAACAGATTTTTTAAGTTTTCGAGCCCTGAGGTTAACTTATACATATACCACTGCTGAAAATGATGTTTCAGGTAACCTCACACTTCCTTCTCACATGCTGCCCAATTTTGTGTAAGCAGTGATAAATGGTTCACTTGACGAATACAAGAGCTAGTTAATGCATTATTCAGTGCAGTATAGTTAATGTACAGGAAATGCATGCATGAAATAGATAATAAAATACAGATGTGGAAAGATATTCAGGCACACAAAATGAAAACTCAACATTGTGAATGCACAGTGTTGTTACACTAATTTTAACGTTTTATAGCATATTTGTACATAACCAACTCTAAATTAATAGGGGTCAGGAGTAAGCATCATAGGACTCAACAGTTTCAAGGTTGGTAAGCCATACCACTGTTGGATTGACAGAGATTCAGACAGTGGGTAAGCTGAAGATAATGAAGTTTCAAATATTTCAACCCAGGAAACTGGGCTCACTGCAATCATCCTGCATGTCAACATTACACCTATCTAAACTACTGAAGTTGTCAATACCACAGTGAGAAAGAAGAAAAACATTGACCAAAACTGACAAAACCTAATTTTACAGAAAATGTGTTTAAGAACTTGTCTTCCACATTGACAACATCAGTAAAACTGTTCTAGGATCTAACTCTTTAGTTCTAGCATGGTCATTGTACACCAGCTGTTTCTTTTTTAACATCCCAGCTGTATGATGGAAGTCAATCGGGTTTGGCCCCAACAATCATGTGATTGACATCATAAGCATGTGTCTACACAATTTGGTTGATGAAGACCAACTCTAACCCAGATCTTCGTATGTTGTATACATTGACTGATATATCCCATCATCAGCTAACCAATTACACATCAGATAAATTATGTCAAGTTTGCAATAACTTGTGATTGCCCGACATCAGCAAGTGATTCGAGAAACACAGGATAGTGGAAACATGGCGAATACTTTAATGATGGCTTGTTTTAGATGTGATTGTCTTTCATAGGTCAGTGATTTGTTTTAGTTTTACATGTTTCTTAAGCATCCAAAACCCCATAATATGGGGATACTAAATTATGGAATTAAAACAAGCACGAAGGCAGTCAAAGAGTCATGAGCAACTAGACATGCATGAAACATATATCTAGGCATTCTAGTTTTAGATACCAAAACACAAAAATTACTACAAATGTGTGAATATTCCCAAACTGGAATTAAAATTGTAGAATGTGAACTTAATACATTCTACTTTTGCTATGGATATTTGTATTTCAGTTTTAATCATGGTGAGATAAGAACCCCAATTCAGAAAAGGGTATTTCATACTTATTTTGACATTATGCCATTGAATACAATGCTAAAATACATCTGTATTTGAAAAAATAAGTACAAAAACTATACAATTTGGCAGGTAATGGTGCTTGGTAAGAGTTCCGCCCGTAACCCCCGCTTGAAATGTATTCTGTTTATTATGATTATTTCAAGGGGTAAGGGTTTAGGTTTAGGGTTTAGATTTAGCAGTATGCTAGGTTTAGGGTTACGGTAGGCTTTCTATAAACAACATCTATTCTTACTATAAATCTTAGGCATAGAATGATAAAAAACAGGGGTTACGACCGGAAATCTTTCCTGGTGAACAAATCCTGTGTATGCAACTGATTTACAAAGCATATACAACAAAACAACAGCTACTGTTAGATCAAAGAGAGAAAGATAAGATTACAAAGGTTGTAATTTGGAAACTGGAACACAAAAAGTAGTTCATCATTCTCAAATTATTGTGCTATCGTCGAGGGAAATAACAAAGATAAACGCCATAACTCGGTAAAAATGCAAACACTGCTATCGTTACGTGAACGGAACATCCAAAACAATCAGGAGTACAAATGGCTTTGGGTACGAAACTAACGCAAAGCCATGTGTCTTATGTTCATTTGAAAAGGAAAATGCCGTGTACATTATTTACACATCAGAAATTCGAATAAGTTAAAAAATATCATGTTGAATGAACTAGGTTCTACATTGTGTACTAAGTAAATGCATATGATTAATGTACTATTATCGACCAAGTCATTTCATTTGTTTTCGTGTATACTGCATGGCCCTTGTCTGCGCCTTCGGAAAGAGGCCACAGACGCGGCGAGGCACGTTAGCCCAAGGAAGGCCATGTCATCAAAAGTACCCTTATCACAGCAAAAATAACTTCATATTTTGATACAGGTGTCAATATTGAAGAAATACAAAGATGTATCGTTCATACCGTATGCAACATTCGTTCTCCTCGCGCTAAAACTGTACTATATTTGATTCCCTGCAAATTAGACCGTGCTATCAACTTCCTGTTGAACGTGCCGGATGCAGAGAGTTGTTTCCCTTAGGTGTGTTTCCGCGACGCCAATTTGAGACTCGGTTATCCAAGAACAATGTTCATATATATTTAGAACGTTTGTAAAGTCTGCACACTGTTTAGCCATTTTAAGTGATTCATTTGTCCAATAACTATTCATAGAGTAATGTTCTAACTTCTATACACAATTACAATTGTGATATCAAATGAACAATTGAAATGTAAAATAACAGCTCAATGTCCAACAGGAACCAAATGCCGTGTGATTGAAAACACTCCTGTGTTTTGTCAAGTCGCCAAAAAATTGGAAAGTTTAATACCCCGCCAAAGTAAAGTAAAGCGCAACCGTGTCTGCTAGCCCAGTTAGAGTCCACCAGAAAACCTGCCTAAAACCTATGTAAACCATTATTAATCTTACTTTAACTATAAATGACTTAATTATAGCAGGCCATGCCCATACAAAGCTTTCATCAGATGAAAAAAAGGGTGGGACGACGGGGTTGGGGTGGCCACTCCACACCCTCTCCACACCACCCTCTCCACCCATCCCTGCTCCACCGCCACTACTAGACAGGTTCGTATGTGCTATGCTTTGTCACGGGGCATGTTATATATAAGACTGGTGTTATACAAAGGTTTGGATTTGGGCACGTTTGGAAATACACAAGGGCATTAGTTATTCAAGGTATCATAGGTATTTCGTATTTTTATTGTCATTCTCTCTCTCTCTCTCTCTCTCTCTCTCTCTCTCTCTCTCTCTCTCTCTCTCTCTCTCTCTCTCTCTCTCTCTCTCTCTCTCTCTCTCTCTCTCTCTCTCTCTGTCTGTCTGTCGACACTTCATGAACTGACGTTGCGTTGCAAAACTGAAAATCGAATTCGTAGAATGTGTGGTATTATCAGAATTATCACCTCATTTCATATTTGCTTGCGATACCTGTTGTTTTATTCAAGCCTTTCCATCAAGTATTTCTAATTTTCGTGAATTGTTCAGTTCTATTCTTGAATCAAAGTCATTCTTGAATCAAAGTGCCGAGGTTGTTAAGCCCTTGTTAATAAGTCAGTTGTTTCTAACGCTTAACCGCACCATGCATTATTGTAACAGCAATAAACTGCCTCATAGATATGCTGATATGCCACTAGTATTTCATGTTTGTGGTGACTTTTCGGGTCGTGTGTCGTCCTCCTGAGATGGCTTTTCATCATCACCCCCAAAGCCATAAATTATGAACGGTCCCAAAAGCAATAATGGGAGACAACTCTTTAAAGACTGCAGTGAGCTTTGATGGTTTCCGTTCTGTGGTCTTATCTGTGTCTTTTGTTACGGAGTTCGTTCTTACATTTAAGAAATACATAGTGTTTATTTGACGTTTTAAAATATAAATTTGATCATGAAGCCGAATGGTTAGGCATCACATTTGCATTGGTCATTTTCTCTTGTTTAAATAAATGAAGCGTTCGGTGTTAATGGTGCAATATTCTCGGCAATATTCCAGCTATGTAACGCCGGTCTTCAAATAGTGGTGTCTGGACCAGACAATGCAGTGACTGACACCATGAGCATCTCCGCAACTGGGATACGATGCCATGTGTCAAACCCAGTCAGCGAGCCTGACCCTGTTCTAACTCGGATCTTCTCGTGTGTGGGCGGAAGTAGATTTATACTGGTCCTAGTCGTCCTCAAATTTCAACATATCATACCATGTCACGCCACGCCACACCACACCACGCCGTACCACGCCATACCATACCATACCATACCATACCATACCATGCCATGCCATGCCATACCATGCCATACCATGCCATACCATACCATACCATACCATGCCATACCATTGCTATTACTGCCACAAAACACTCGGATCGCTGCACTCATATATTTCCCTTTGTGAAGAATTCATTGTGAGTCATACTGACAAATGTTACAGTGTGTACATGGTGAATAAACACCAACATGCTGTACGATAATTCTTGTGTTTTTAATTGGAAACATTGCATGGCAATTACCCGTGTTTCAGCCACATCCATGTATTTCCCACTATTTGGGGCTGTTCTGGGGAGTTTCCTGAAGGAAAGACTACCCAACGTAGCAACTGGCACGTGCTCCATACTCCTTCGCCATGGGCTTCAGGCTCAATGAAACTGGAGGGCAACTATTGAGACACTAGCACGCACACAACTGTCGTCTAAGTTGCTATACCACATGCATGTCTGTTTGTATGGATTTTTTTCATAATAATTATATACTTTGTTTTTATTGATGTATGTTTGTGTTTATGTCTTTAACATCTGGATGATTTTACGATGGGAAGTGTGCGTGCGTGCGTGCGTGCGTGCGTGCGTGTGCGTGTGTGTGTGTGTGTGTGTGTGTGCCAGTGTACCAGTGTGTTTTGAACAGACTTTGCAATATTCCGCCAGTGGCTATACGCTGAAGTAGTATGGAGACTCGAACCCGTTTGTTTCACTCGATGGGCCCGACCGCGTCATACCAAAAGACGTTAAAATATGATACTTCTTGGTCCCTGCCTGGCGCTCGGCATTAATGGGTACAACAAAGGACTGGTCGGCTCGGAGTCAGTATAATGTGTCTGAGTGGAGTATTCATGCTTCACTGCGGCGTGGTATCTCAGTGAGCTAGCACTATAAAACCAGCTTCAGTCTGGGCTAGTACAAGCAGCCGCACATACACATACACACGCATGCACGTCGTCATATGAGCGAAATATTCTCAAGCACGACTTTAGACCCAATTTCACCTCACCTCACCTCACTCGATGGGCAGACGTTTTAACCACTCCACTACCCTATCACCCTTCACAGTGTACTCTAGTTTGGTTTATTCTGGTGCGAAAACGAATAGTGAACCTATCCATTAGTATTGTATACATATGTATCTTGTAATACACAAGGGGAGGTTGGGTAGCCCAGTGCTTAAAGCGTTCGCTCGTTACTCAGAAGGCCCGGGTTCGATTCCCCACATGGGTACGACGTCTCCCACGCCGTGATGTTGCTGGAATATTGCTAAAATTGGCGTAAAACCACACTCAGACACTCATTTGAAGTACACACTATTTCCTTCACGTAAACCAGTGCAAGTGAATCATTTCTTTTTAAAACGTCTATAGTATTACTGCCATGCAGAGAGGAAACATCACTTTCACAATATAGTTTGAAATCTGTATAAAATGTGTGTTTATTTACAAACTACACACGCTAATAAATTCAACGATTGTACAAACACATGAAAGTGGCAAGACATGTCAACACTATCACAACAAGCCTCTTCTGAAGGCAGAGTCCACCCTATTCGTCCGATGTCACGAACATGCAGCACGAAACATCCACAATACATATCTGAGTTTTCCTTCTTTTGTCTGATCCTCACATGTGTCACCCCCAAGACAAACAGGTCAATTTGCTGATAAAGCTTTCTCCAAATTACTGCTCTCTTTGAATGAGTGTGTCGGTCTGATCGTGAAAACAGTCTAAACAATTCATCATTAATGAATAACTGGTCCACAGACTATGGTGTACTATAATTGCCATCGCGTGGCGCGTAAAAAAAGAACTACGTCGTACCATAACAGACAGTCTTCCGTACGTCTCTGCTAGATAGTTTATAATCTTGTCCATATTCAGATGATTTAAGAAGAAACATAATAACAAACAGCAAAAAAATATATATAAAAAACTAAAAACAAACAAACATATTATATACAACGAACTTCTTTACAAAATATAAAATAGCTTGGATAACAGAATAAAAAACCACTAAAGACCGAATTTATCATTTATCTCCATCATAAGGTAGCAGCAGAGGATGGTCGCTGGAAGAGTTCTTCAAGAAATCACCTCATCATTGACAAGTTCGAAATTGTTTGTTTTGTTTGATCCAGATTCCGTAACCCAAGCATTCGAGACCCGAAACCTTGGACTTAGATAATATGCCTCTTCACCTTTTGAGAGAGGTGGTGTTTGTGTAGACTGGTCAGTTCGTTCCACTTCTGCTTTTTTCGAACCAGCAATCAATTTCTCTATGGATGTCAGTTTTTCATCCATTTGTCGCAATGTCATTTCCTTTTCAGGATGTTTACTACCACTGCTAATATCATCCTCTTCTTTAAATTTAATCTCAATGTACCACGACGAGCTTTCTTCTTTCGTTTTGTCGAAGATATTACCGTTATGAATGTGACGTGTCCCCAAGATTCTAGACAACCATGGAAGCGATCTCTCAATGTCTATTCCCATCTGGATGGCCTCAACCCTCCAGGCCACCGGGTGTTCAAAATGGAAACGGGAGTAGGACCTGTTCATCATGGCTATCAGAAGGTTCAACAGCATGATGGTCACAATGACTATATAGCCAATGTACAGCAGTTTGCTGAAAATAGGTTCCGCCCCCGCCTGTTCCAGGTGTTTCTCCAAGTCTCCATCCCACATTTCCACCATCCCCATCATAACATTAAACAGGAGGAACATTGTATTGATGGGTGTCCGATATAGCTTAACAATGTCCACAGACCTCAGAAACTGAGAATGCAATGCAAGGGTAAAAGCCACCAGGATGACCACATATACCAGAAGTGTCTTAAAGACATCGTACAATATATCCTTGAATATAATGCTTAGAAAGAAATGAATATCTTGTATTCCTTTCGCAAAGCCAAACGTTAATAGCCAACCATAAAACAAAGTCACTGACATTAAGGTATGCAATCCCTCTGGTCCATATAGGCCATATTGACTTACAAATACTAAAACTAGGCATACGAACACAATGTAATAAACAAAATATACAAGTGACCTTAACAATGAGACATACAATCTTCAAGTCTGGGTCATCGTCAATTGTTGTCCAACATGTTGCTTTACAAGTAAAACATACATACGCATCGTACAAAAAATATAAAGACAACAGTATTGGTTCAATTGGACTGACTATGTAGAAAAGTTGTCTTGCATCATCCGTGTTGGTGCTTTGGGTGTCATTGCTGTCTTTAGCCATGACCTCACAACTGGCATAGCTGAACACCGACATGTATACAATATGCATCAAAGTGATGAAGACATAGATTTTTTGTGGTTACAGAATTGTACATCTTCTCGATGGCCCTGACAGGAGGGATGTCCAGGACACGGCCTGCATTGGCTGCTGAATGTGTTAACATCCTTTCAAGACATGAAGGTTCTGGCACACATTCCGTTGTCATGCAGCGTGATACAGACCCATTTGTCAGAGGGGTGATGTTGGTAATGTCGTACTGCCAGAGGAGCTCGAAAGTATGCTTGTTTTCAGTACACATGACGTCATCCATCATCATCAGCCTTTCTACAACAGGATACGCTGCAAGATGGAAGGCCTGCTCAAGAACAGACAACTCCTTTTCATTCTTTATTTCAGTGGTCAAATGAAGAATACGGTCACGTTTATGCCTTTGAAAGACTTGAGAAAGAGGTTTCATAAATATTGCAAATGACACCACTCTGTCAAACAGATCCAGCAAGACCATGTTCGTGGTGTCATTATGCTTCTCCGTTAGGGCTAAGGTGATACAGTGAAGTATTGTATTTCCGGCACTATTTGTAGCATCAAAATGTAAGTTAGAGCGATGCTCCAGGAATGACTCTACCGTCTCAGGCCCGCTGTCATTTGACGATTGGGTTAAGGAAACTGTCGATGCTTCAGAGGGTGGACCCTGTATTAAAGGTAGTTCATCCAGGTAAGATATCAGTTCGGACTCGGTTATATCTTCTTCCTTAAAATCGAGTAGCTTCAGAAAGGGCGTCATCTTCTCTGTTAGATGCAGCACGGCACCAAGATCCAATCCCTGCATGGTTGGTTCTGAAAGCAAATAATCTCTTACGTGTAATGAATATCTCAACATGAGAACTTACACTGGATGTGCCGCGATGCGACAATAAATTTTAACTCACACTCTTGCACACCTGATGTACACCGTCACTACACAGGGCTGTACATGTTTGTTTCTTGACTGTGATTCTATTTAATTGGGTTACAATCACAGCGGTGTATTATGGGGTTATAGTAGGTGCGTTCTTCTTTACTAATAACATCTTATCTATATCATTTAAAACTCTGACTTCAATACTTGATCTGTAATTGTGGAAATATGATATAATTTCGAAACAGTTTTATGATGATCAAATTACTATTTTCAGAAACTCGAATTTGTCAAATACGGGGATACACCTGTATTTAGTGACATAATTGTGCAACATTTACTTGATCAGACCACGATGAAGTGTCATGTTCGTTTGTGTGACTGAGTCAGTAATGTATTGGTAGGCTTAATTCATACTCTCTCACAAAAGAAACGCATCACGAAATTGGAATTTTGATCCATCCGTGTATTGGTACAGGGAGGATTTTACAAACACGTTTAATTTATTTATGGTTCCGATGATGTTTTTGTCTGAAAACATCACATCCAAACGCATCCGGCATGAAATACTTTTATGTAACCGCATGATTTTGAGTTGGTGCATGCAATGTCACAGATCGATCATTGTTTTTTGTTTAGTCACTTTATTTGAGAGTTTCTAAAGAATTAAAAATGCCACGACTCAGCCGCGCCAATCGAAATATTGCTATAGGGCTTCTGGAATTAGGACAAACTCAGCATGCAGTTGCCCGTCGTATGAACGTACACCAGAGCAGATATCACCAGCAGACCTCCGTCGAAGACAGACCTACAAGTGGACGACCCCCGAGTGACCACTAGAGCCCAAGATCGGTACATCCGGGTACATCACCTATGTCATCGTACAGCTACAGCCACCAGTACCGCTAGACACATACCTGGATTACGACGATTATCCGCACAGACTGTCAGGAACAGGCTTCGAGAGGCGGGTTCGAGAGCACGAAGACCGTACTTTGGCCCTGTGCTACGTCAGCTACATGGACAACATCGTGTTCAGTGGTGCACCAACGTTCAGGTCTGGACTATGGCTAATTGGTGTCGAATCTGATGATGAATCGAAATTTTCACGAGAGATTTCATCATGAACCAGAACATCAATGTGCTGCGATGGCCCTCCAGATCACCAGATTTAAACCCGATCAAGCATATTTGGGATACTCTGGACAGGCGTGTACGACAGCGTCACCCACAGCCGCAGACCCTTCAACAACTTGCCCATGTACTACAGGCAGAGTGGACTGCAATTCAGCAAGCAACATCAGATCCAGAGACTGATTCGTTCGATGCCGAGCCGATGTCTGAACGCCAATGGTGGTCACACTAGGTACTATCTTCAGCGCCACCAAGCGTCTTTGTGTGATCCTCTATCTGACTTTTTCGGAGCCCCTACCAAACATCGATACTGGGACATTACCTGTGCGAAGTTTCATTGCATTTCGTTGTTTATGAAAACCAATACAATGTATCATAATAAAGAAACAAATTACATACTTCAAATTCTTATATGCGTTTCTTTGTTTAGAGAGTATATATATTATGTGTTATCTTGCAGTGAAATATTTGCATTTGTCATCCAAAACTGTGTTGCACTCCCGGGAGATTTCGTTTTGACAGTAGATTTTGTACAATGCCCTGATATCATCAATTACATGAGATCACAATGCTTTGACATCATCAATTACATGAGATTACAATGCTATGACGTCAAAAACCTGATGCCATTACAATGTTATGACGTCATACACCTGATGACGTCACAATGATATGACATCGCTGGATTGCAAGTCTAATGGCAGTACTGTGTTCAGAGATGTACATTTTTCATCGAAAACTAATGAAGAGTGATTTTTGATGATAAATAGAATCTCACCTTCGTGTCTTCTGATAACAAATATAACGCGTTGATAAAAGTATAAATATCCTCGGCAAGCCTCAGGTATTTGTAACTTAATCAACTCGTGTTGATATAATTGCTGTCAGAAGACACTTGGGTGAAATTCTCTATTTAACTGTAATTCTCGATCTCTTGAGACATACGTGGTTGTCTGCATGGATATATAGCCTCGCAGCGATTCCAATATGTGTACAGACATGTTTATGTGCTTGCCTTATTGAAATCTTTTACCCAACTTTCGTGTTAACGCATTGTTCTCCTTTACAACTATCATTTTGTATTCTCAATGTTGACTAAAAGTCCTATTGTGACATTAGAAAAAATAGATCAGTGCGTAATAAACACACATACCTTAACAGTCCCGGGAACCCGCTGTCGTGTGTCGTTGTGCCTCAGCTAGAAGTATTTTTGACCCTTCCCCTTGTGCATGATAGTGTTCCGATAATAATGCACCCCGAGTCGGTTTATCTGGCTTGAAGAATGTGTGCTGTATTTGCGCTATAGATCAAGTGTTCGTAGTGAGAAGTTATTGTATAAACAGGCAGTCTTTACCTACTTGTTATCTAGTAACGGGCACTTCAAAGGTTGCCTCATTATTACGCTTGCTGTGCTAATGTAAAAGGCACTGTGAGCAAATGCTGGAATGGCATGTTGAAACTATCAGTATGTTTCATATATGTGTCTAACATTACAGAGGCAGACAGAGGTATGGAATCATACTTTACAAATAACGATATCCGACGTTTACAGCTCGCCTCAGTGAAATACGGCTGTCGTCCATGGCATTTAGACAACATCTTTGTCCGGGATCATTCTTGACCTATATAAAGAAGTCTGTTGATCCTTCACCCGGGACGATTAAATAGGTATGACTGACAGGTGCTTGTCAACGAACACGAGGCGCCGTTTGTATACTGATATGTAGACAAAGTGCGTATTCCTTACATGTTCCCAGACCATATTATTGGGTATGCGATTAAAATGGGATACATGTTGTTCTTAATGGTAACATAGACAACTGACATTTCAATAAATAACAAAATAATTAGTATAATATATCGTCACATAATTTCATAAGTATAGCTACAATCTACGGTACATACACGGATATACCTTAGATCCGTGATTTGCATCGATATATAAATGTGTGTGTGTGTGTGTGTGTGTGTGTGTGTGTGTGTGTGTGTATGTACGCATACATATACATACAATGTACGATATACACACTTGACCTACAATCCACGATACATGCACGTATATAACTTCAGTCCATGATATGTACATACATGAATACATTCCATGATATATACACTCATATAAATAGCCCATGATATATACATTTATATGAATACTGTCACTGATATATGCATGTATATACTTACATTCAATGCTATAAACACGTGTATACATTCGGTCTCTGATACAAACAAAAACACAAGTTTATCTACAATCTATGCTATATGTACGTATGAACCTAAACTCTCCGTCTATGGAATAAAGATGTGTATACATACACTATATTATGAAGACACGTGTATATCTTCAATCTTTGATATAAACAAGCATATACGTACAGGCTATACAATATCCATATGTTATCTTCAGTGATTACATAAACGAATGAATAACTACAATCTGTGATATCATCAGTCGTGTTTGTGTGTCCAAACTTATGGTTTAACATAGAAGAACTACAAATTGTATTTTTCCCTTCTCAGTGAGTGAGTGAGTTAAGATTTAACGTCACATTGGCAATATCTCAGCCATATTGTGACGAGATTTCTTCCCTTCTGATTCGGTAAGGTGGTTCACGAGTAAATTCAATGTATTAAATACATCAGTGTATAACTACAATCTGTGATATTAGCAGATGTGTTTGTGTGTCCTAAATAGTGGTTGATTATGGAAGTACAAGGACTTACTGTATTTAGCCCTTCGTTCGTGGTGAAGATACACGACTGTATATCCTACTATGGTCTCATGATGTTGAATGTTGTTACGAGGTATTCCCCCCATTCAGGTCCAATATGCATCGTGAACGGCAGATCACAATATGATAGCAATGTTAAATCTACCATGTCTCAAGCTGAAACTGATCTACCATCATTATGCAAGTACGGGGGACACACCAACAATGTGATCATCCATGTGTAATGTTTGCGTGATATCATTAACAAGACGAGGACGGCTTCGAGAAATACCCCACCTATAATCTATATTCCAAGACACCTCACGATATGATTAAACAATAGACGCGTAGTATGCACGGTGTCTGTGTAGGTACAAAAATGTTTTGATTGTAGGAAGGGTTTCACAGTGAATGATTTTGTTAGTCATGCATTGAATGTATATACATTTATATATCATGGCCTGTGTATACATATATATATATGTGTGTGTGTGTGTATGTGTGTGTATGTATGTATGTATGTATGTATGTATGTATGTATGTATGTATGTATGTATGTATGTATGTATGTATGTATGTATGTATGTATGTATGTATGTATGTATGTATGTATGTATGTATGTATGTATACACATCTACATATATAGGTGTATATATCACGGATCTAAGGCATATTAGTGTATATATCGTATTTGGAATTTGTAAATAGTGTATTCTGTTGTAAATGCACAAAACGTACACAGTGTAAGACTGATTGTTGTAAAACCACAAGGTGAACAAAGTGTAAAATATGACTCCGTCGTTAATGCACAAAATGAACACAGTGTAAAAAGTAGTTTCTTTCTAAATGTATATAATGAACAAAGTGTAAAAATAATCTCTGCTTTAAATGCACATAATGAACACATTGTCAACGATACCTATATCCCTAGGAAGCCCAACGTATAAGTGGAGGTGCACATACTTTTATCATAACACCGTACAATAAGTTCACACGAAAGACCGAAACCTCTTCTTCAAAACTTGGGGCGGTGGAGTATTCTAGTGGTTAAAGCGTTGGCTCGTCTCGCACGCCGAAGACCCGGGTTCGAATCCCCACATGGGTACAATGAGTGAAGCCCATTTCTGGTGTCCCCCGTCGTGATATTGCTGGAATATTGCTAAAAGCGGCTTAAAACCAAACTCAGTCAGTCAGTCTTCAAAATTTGTTAATATAAATGTGAAATAAGCCTTCAAACGCGACATTTCGCCCATTTGTCGCATTGTCGCGATGTCGCGTGTCGCGTTTTAGTGAATTTTTAGCCTTCTTTTTACACATCTTAGATAGGGCGACGCGCGACAACGCGACATATTTTGACCTTGAAAATTGTCGCTATGTCGCGTGTCGCCCTTTGGAGGAATAGAAAAATATTATTCAAACGCGAAACGCGACACGCGACATCGCGACGATGCGACAAATGGTCGAAATGTCGCGTTGTCGCGATGTCGCGTGTCGCGTTTTGGTTTATTTTGCCTCACTTTACTTGTTTTTGACAACGCGACAATGCGACATAGCGACAATGTCCCTTCTAGGATTCCATAGTAAGGTCTCAAACTGTCCTGAACAACACAGATGATTCAGTATCGTGTGTGGCCTTCCCCTGCCGGGGATGCAGGCTCTAACGCGGTGTCGAACTGAGTATGTGAGCCTTCTGACGTCATCGTTAGGGATTCGGCGCCATTCCTCTTGCAGGGCAACTACCAAAGCGTCCCTAGTCAATGGCGGCTGTTGACGTTTCCGAATACGTTGCCCCAGTTGGTCCCAGAGGTGTTCGATTGGAGACAGATCGGGTGACCTCGCTGGCCACTGTAGCAGGTTGACGTTGTTAGTGTTGAAGAAGTCACTAGTGATCCGAGCTGTGTGAGGTGTGGCGTTGTCCTGTTGAAACAGAGTCCTTGGGTGACGTTGCAGGTAAGGCAGCACCACAGGCAATAAAATCTCATCGATGTAACGACGTGCGGTGAGATTACCGTTGATGATGACGAGATCTGTCTTCTGGTCCCCACAAATTCCGCCCCAGACCATAACGCTTTCACCGCCGTAATGCTCCACTTCTTGGATGCAAGTAGGTGCCGTCCGTTCGCTCCGACGTCGGTAGATTCGAACACGACCATCAGATTTGAAGAGCTGGAACTTGCTCTCGTCACTGAAGAGCACCCTTCGCCAGTTTCGCTGCTGCCATTGCATTACGGTCCTGGCCCACCGAGTCAAATCTGGCACGTCGGTGTCGGAGCGTTAACGTCATGCTCTTGAAAGGTCGATAGGCACGAATACCATGCTGACGGAGTCGCCTTGCTACGGTCTGTCTGCTGACTGCATGTCAAAGGTTATTGGCGCTTGATGACGTCACAGTGAGGTAGCAGTTTCTCAGATGAAGCACCCGTAAATATCGATCTTCCTGAGGGGTCGTGACCTTGGGTCTGCCACTCCTGGGTCTGTCAGCAGTACTGCCAGTCTGTGTGTGACGTGTGACAAGTCTGGTGATGGTGGACGTGCAGCATCCCAGGATCCTGGCCACGTGCTCCTGTGTTGCGCCCATCTGAAGCATACCAATTGCTCTTTCCCTCTGTTCTTTGGTCAATCGTGGCATGTTGGCTGCTTTCAATCGTGTCACATGATGAGAGAGAACAAATCTAGTCAAGTTTTATACCCTCATGTCATACGGGTAACTTTGTGCACAATTTCCATTTTTTTCTGTGCGAATTCATTTAACTCACCAATCATCAAAATCTCATGCACTTGTTCACTGGGAATAGACAGGTTGTGTTCGAGATTTGTGTTTTCAGCCGTTTTTCAGCAGATTGGCAATTATTTTGACAATTTATGATAATTTTTATTTTGGTGGCGTTTCTTTTGGACACTAGTTTATGTACTAAGTACAAAGAGTACATAGGCCAGCCTTTGCATACAGGTACACGAACATAGGTCGTCTTAGGTGTATTATTGGGACTGTCGCCATGTTGAGGATTGTATGCTCGTCTACCCGCTTTTTGTACAGCTAAATGCGTAATGGAATATGTCAACATAACCGTCATGGGTGTATCAAACTCGGGTGTGACACAAGACATATCTTACAGATGAAATCTTGAGGAAGAAGAACTCTCACATTATGTTTGTTTGTATGTGAATATGACACACTACAGATATTCAGAAGAAACCTTCCGATCCGATTTTGTACAGATTAATCGAAAGCCATTGTTGAAACCCAAACCAGGCATTTCCCTCCACAAGAGGAAAGTACCGTTTCTCAGAAAACCATACATCCATCACGTAGCGCTCATCAGTGATGGACGTGATTCAGGGATTGTGAAAGATGTACGACGGTGTTTAGCTGCTGTTGTATACAGCTGCTGCGACTGTGATGGTCAGCAAATGATGAAGGAGAGTACTGAGTTGATGCATAAGTCCCAGTGGATAGTGATAGTAACTAGCGGCTGTAGTGACGACAAGTACAGCATGCTTATCAACACT